GTTCATGTGGTTCTCCTTCTTTATGAAGTTTTGAAATAAGATCTCTCTGGAAATTCCATGCTGTGGTTGATATTCTACCAACCTTTCCTGGTTTCAAAGGCAGCAACCCAGGGTAGGCCTGCAATAGGTGAGTTTGTTCTCTGATACAGGACAATACAGCCAAGTTCCTGCCCGTGAGGTCCTAGGGGTGCGCGGCCACCATCCACCGCCTCCTTCCCCATCTGGGGCGCCCCCAATTAATGTTCTTAATCTGTATAAGTGAAAGCACCACTCACATTTACATAAGAAAAAGTTATGTTAATGTTGTCTCAAACTGTACTGTCAAGGAAACCTACTGTTTCACTGCTAGCGTTGAATAATGACAGTCTGTTCTGTATATGGGAGAAAAATTGGGATTAACCAGGGTTTTTCTTTAACTCAATCTTTTGTTTCCCCATGAAAATATTTTTTTTCTTTTTTTATTGAGACAGAGTCTCACTCTGTTGCCTGGGCTAGAGTGCCATGGTGTCAGCCTAGTTCACAGTAAGCTCAAGTTCCTGGGCTTAGGCGATCCTCCTGCCTCAGCCTCCAGAGTAGCTGGGACTACAGGCATGTGCCACCATGCCTGGCTAATTTTTTTTTCTATGTATTTTTAGTTGGCCAATTAATTTCTTTCTATTTTTTTCTATTTTTTTTAGTCTCGCTCATTCTCAGGCTGGTTTCGAACTCCTGACCTTGAGCGATCCTCCCATCTCAGCCTCCCAGAGTGCTAGGATTACAGGCATGAGCCACCGTGCCCAGCCCATGAAAATATTTTTTAAATCCTTGCTGCCTGATACCATTATTCCTTAGTAGCAAGATAGGACATGTTTTAGAAATATTTGTTTTTCCCACAGCATTTTTCTCCTTCCTGGTTTTGTGATGACGTCAGGCTCTTTGTGTTCCCTTGCCCAGGTCTGAAAGCAGAAGGCTCTTGCAGACACTTCTCTTTCTGGCTTTTGTTTTCATGAAGCCTAAGCTTCCAGAATCTTTTGTGCAGGAGGAGAGGATGGAATAGGCAAAAGTTGAAAGGCAACAGAAGTTAGCCAGTGCCTTGAGCAGGTAGGTTTCCAGAGCTTCACTCTACTGCCTTTCCATCTACTTCCTTTCCCTCCCCATATTTATGGAGTCTCCCAAAGTCACCTCTTTGGAATCTCTGTTTCTATGGAGAAGAATTTGAAAATCATTACTTTAGATCAGTCATTCCTCAGCTCCTCTGAGTTGGAGAGCATAACGAATGGCAGAGTAGAAGCTGAGGGACTTCAGATACAGACCACCATGTTTCTCTTTTGCATGTGTAGGGGATAAAGACAATAGTAGAGTTAAAGATGATTGTAACGTTTTTAGCCTGGACATATGGCACAACGCTGATATTTGAAATATCAGCTGTTAATAAATCTTGCTGCTATTCAATGGGTGTCATGAAGACACAAGAGCTGAGTGTTCACTCTTGAATATTAAGTATTGGCAGGGAGTGAAGAATAATTAATTTCATTTTTGTAATGCTAAGTTTGAGGTTACGGTACAAGACCTTAAACAAGGTAGCCGATAAGCAGCTGGAGAGATGGAATGGCACACAGATGAAAAAGTCAGAGATGTAGATGAGAGATTCCAGCCACTGCTGAAGAAGTGAGCTCAGAGATAAGAGAGCAGAGACTGAAGACACAGCCTTCAAGACATCCTACAAAGGTTGAAAACTGGGAGCCCACCTGCTCCATCCAGTGCCCCAGCATGTTTTACTTAGTTCAAACATTGTTTAAATTATTTTAAAATTAATGGTCAATTTAACTTAATATAAAAATTGGGAGTTTTAATGAAATCTGAATACCTTTTCTGGAAAATAGGAACACTTGACAGTGTTGGGCCCACATTCTCCTATGGTGAGAGTTGAGTAGCCCCTGCTGTATCAGATGGCATTGCCTCTGAATGGTCAGACACAGTCCCTCTAGTCAACTTCACCCATTTAATGGCAGCAAGAAGTGACAAAGATTCTCTCTCTGACCAAACCCTAGCCAGGCTCCTGTGAACCCATTCTCAAGTGGGCCTTAAACTTGACCCACAAAGACTTGAACAAACACTAACAAAGTTTTTAACAGCTTAAGGCCACATCCCTAGGATGATCCCAGCTTCCTTTAAAGTGCCTTCATGAGAAAAGTCAAGACCACCAAACAGTTACCATTTGTTCCAGCCAACACCTGAAGATAAGACCCCAGTCTCCCAGCCTCCTGGGAGGGAAGGTGCATAGCCTCCATTAGTGCCAGTTAACAAGCCCAGGTGGGTTTCACATGGACCAACCCCAACCCCACTTCTCTCTTTTTGTAATTTTTCACTTTCCTGGCTCTACTGGGTCCCAGCTCATCCCTCTCTGCATCCCTTTCTCCCTTTACAACATTCACTTATGTCTGTACAAATCAATGTTGAATTCAATTCACTCTGGGCTCTCTTCCCCTTTGCAACACTGCATTATGATTAAAATCTGTCCTTACCACTTGACTAGCATCTGGCTCTGTTTATCTTTGACAGAAGGCTCCCAGTCAACAGAGACCAATGAAGGGGTTAGGTTTTGTTGTTGTTTTAAAGATGAGGAGGCTGAGCATATTTGTTTCCCTTTTTGCCTTCCAGGAAGCTGAGAATAGGGAGAAATCAAAGGTGTAAAAAGATGTTGACCATTGATTGATAGGGTCCAGGTATTGCATGAAGTTGGTAAGAATTCCAAATGTAAGTGAAAAATTAGTTATAGGGAGAGAGAGAGCTGTCTTCTTCTGAAATTAGAGATAATGATGACAGGACATAGACATGATGAAGAAACCAGATGAAGAATAATAAGACTGAAGGAGTGAGAAGGTAAAAATCTACCCTTTTCATCAGACTGGAATATAACAGCCACAGATAAAGCCAGCTACAAAGTGAACAGGAAAAAGTATTTCTCTCAAGGACATGCTACATCCATAGAGTGTCACAACCACCTTCTTTGAGTGACTACTGATTCCTTATTCATTGAGAAACTTGGTTCTGTAAAATCATAGAATGTTAGAAACGGCTCCTTGAAAGAGATTCGTATCATTACGAATAAATAATCCCACTCTTGCCTGAAGGATCTAAGACTTAGCAAAGAAGCCTGGATTTCCAAGGCAAGTGAAGAGCTTTGGAAAAAGGGGTTTCTGAAGACATTTCGCATCTATCTTAACTTTGTAGTATTCAAGGAAATAGGACCTGATGTTGATGCCTTTACTCACAGAACTGCTTTGCTTGGAGCCACTTAAAACACTGCTTCATTTAAATTTCCCCAAAACTCTACACTTTCCCCAAAACCCTGAGAAAACTCAATCTTTTCCTTCAATGAGATCCTCCACAGTTTCTCTGGTGTGAGCTCTTCCTCATTGCAGTGGATCAATAAACCTGAATCTGTTGAACTCTGGATTTGTTTCTGGAGGTTACAGGGATTGACTGGGTGAGCATGCGGGGAGGAGGAGGGAGGCATTGGAGGTTTTCATAGCCCAATCCTTCATTTTACAAACAAAAACTGGGGACTAGAAGAAAGGTTCCCAATTGTCACTTGATTCTGGCACAGACCACCACCCACCCTGGCAGAAAGGGATCTTGCCCTCCACGCTGAAAGGAATTCAAATGCAAGGGCACAAGGGAGAGAAAAGAGTTCAGACATGAGATATGAGCGGAAAGCAGAGAGGTTTATTGAAAGCAAAGTACACTGTTACAGAAAAGAGCCCAGTGGACTGACCCAGAGAGGAGCAGTGTGCCCCAGGGTTAAGGTCAGTTCTTTTTTGTGGAATTTTAATGCTGTGCTAAATTGGGGGCAGAATATTCAGGATTTTCTGGGAATGGAGTGGAGAGTTCTTGGAACTCTTTTCCTCCATATAGGGTAATTTCTGGGGGTTGCCATGGCATTTGTAAACTATCTTGGTGCTGGCGGGTGTGTGTTTTTATTATGCTAACGAATTTAGTACATTCAGGGACAAGTGGCCTCAACTGTACACATGCTTCAATCAAAGGAATTACACCTTTTCCTTAAAGATGTCATGGCTAAAGTAAAGCAACTATTGCATATTCACATTCTTGTGACTTTCTTTTCCTGTTGGCCTTCTCCTTCTGACCCCTACCCTACTTGCCTGCAGGGTATCTGACTCCTGTCTCAGTTGCAGTTCTCCTTACCTCAGACCCACTTCCACGTGAAGAACTTTCATGGTACCCATCTTCTAAAAATATGAAGTCAACTCTGGAGTGGTTTTCCTTTAAACATGTAATCCACAAATTTATCTAGGCCCTTTAAGACCATCTTTAGCCCCAGGTCAGTCATTCCTGCTGTATTGAGATTGATGAGTTCCACGTGTTCATTATCTGGAGGTGGGACCTCTGAGTACCTGGGAGGCAGAGTGTGTGCGGGGCTGGGGTGCCAAGCCAGGGCAGCCGAAGATGACAGACGGGAGACAGGGGTTCTTCTCCCACCTCACCCTACTGTGCCACATTTCTACAGCAACCTTCTTCACTCCTTAGGAGAAATTTCCTTTCACTTTCTTACTCCTGTCTCCCCAACCCACTGTCTCAGGAAGGCGCCACCGGTTCAACTAGAGAGCCACGTCCCACCCGTCATTCAAATCCTCCTTTTTTGGAAACGTGAGCCAGAACTGATTCCCCACCCCCGCCCAAACTGAAAGCAGACACTTCCTTATACGAATATAGTATTTTATTTAAACGAACTACAACATTAACAAGTTACAACAAACCCCTTCTCTTCCAAAGAAAAGAAAGCTAAGTGCATCCGTCTTAGCTCTGGGAACTCGACCGACGGCTCAAGATGGTGGCGGGAGCCGCCGGGCGAGCCCGAAAGCACCGCTACCACCCCCAGTCGGGAAAAACTGGAACCTGCTACTCCCGGCCAGGAGCCGCAGCCGAACCCACGCCGGCCGAAGCGACGGCGGCCCGGCGCGCGCGCTGATTGGTCGTCCGGCCACGCGCCTGCGCAGTCCTCCTCCCGCGCCGCCAAGTCCGCCGCCCAACTGCAGGACTGCGGCCTCTGGAGAGATTCGGCGCTAGCCTGCCAGCAGACAGCAAAGTGGGCGGATAGGTGGGCCCCGCGTGATCTTTTCGGGGAGAAAGGAGGGGGCCCCTTTTCCGGCCCCCAAAATCTCCCCAGCCCCTGCAGCCTGCCAGGCCGGCGAGGGAGAACCTGAGGAGCCGCAGACGCTCTACCCGGTGCTGCCGCCGCCATGGCTGCCATGATGGGTCGGAAGTGAGCCCCAGGGCGACGGCTGCCGGCGCCGGCGCTTGGAGTGCCCGCTCCCCGGCCGCCTTCGCCCGGGGAGTCGCGGCGCACCGATTACTGACTCTCACGGCTTCGCGCCCCCAGGCTCTCAGCGCCGGTCCCCTTCTTCCGAGACTGAGAGGCGGGGAGTGGTTCCCGGCTGCCGGCCCCGGCCGCGAGGAAGATGGCGGACCCGGCCGAGTGCAACATCAAAGTGATGTGTCGCTTCAGACCTCTCAACGAGTCCGAAGTGAACCGCGGCGATAAGTACATCGCCAAGTTTCAGGGAGAAGACACGGTCATGATAGCGGTGAGTGACCCTTGCCACCCTCGCCCACGTTTCTCTCCTTCGGGCCTGGCTGGGCCGGGAGTTTAGGGAAGTAGCCAGGTGCAGAATCGAGGGGCAGCGGTGTTGTCCCGAACCCTCTCTCGCGGGGTTTGCCGGTTGGGATAACCCAGGAGAGGGAGACTGCGTAGCTCCATAGGCATTCCTGGATCGCCCCCACCCGGGTGTCCAGCGCCGTGGCCGGGAGGCACCCAGTCGTAGTCTGGGACACTCCCCCATTTGGAAGCAAGTTTAGTGCATATCTGTCTGTGTTTGTGTGTGCAGTTATGGTTGCTGATGCTTTTGGTGTTTTGGACTACCCTCACGTTTACCTATTCATAAAATAAAGAAGAATAATTTAAAGTTCAGCTGGGAGCATTGAACTCTAAGACCAGCCCTGCTGTACCTTAAATAATAAAGATACTTAGTTTTATAGAAACACAGAACTAGGTGTTGAACCATATTGTTTTTCCCGAGGAGAAGAAAAAACCACCAAATAACTGCAGATATGCTAATACCTCAGATGTTCACCCATTGGCCTTTTGAATGATGAATGACTTCTCATGTTAACAAATGGCAAATCGAAGACTGTAAAAAGAAATAGTTGAATTTTCTTTTGAAATGGGAATGTTCAACTTTGTTTAATTTTCTAGCAGTTCTGACTGATTCTGACTGGGTCAGTAAGTGCTCAAAAAGATACAGAATCTCCAGTCTTACTGGGTCTTACGGGATAACAGCCTAGGAAAAAGTAATTTTCTGTGTGTGTATCAAAGTATTATAAGAACAAGCTTATAAAAGATAAAAATTGACCAGTATTAGATTTATACTTATACAATTAAGGTTTACCTTGAAGAATATTGATTTTGATAATCCTAATAATAGTGAGATATTGTTCCATTGAAGTGTCAGACCTAACCAGAGTTGGCTGATCATTGTTTGGGAGACCAGAATGTGAGGATTTTTGAGGTCTGATCTCTAGTATTGAAAGGACTCTGAATATAACACTTCCTGGTTCAAGAAGATTAAAAAATGGGTCGTAAGATACTGCATACGGAACAGTGAATTATGACTAAAAATTAAATTCACCTTTCCTGGTAATGCCATGTGGTAGAAGTTTTTTACATTGTTATCATGGTACAAAATTTTAATATGCTAATTTTCCCTCTAATTGCATTCTATATTTAGTACTGTATGGTTTGGGATATTTAATTTGGAAATACGGCAGAGAGGTCACAGGAGATGGGACATTGACGATTGAAAGCATTGACATCTAAGAGTGGACTAAAGCTCTGTAGGGTTTTTAATGTAAAGGTTTCCAAAATTCACCTCTAGAAAATGAATGTCTTAGCTCTTGGTAGGCTTTTTGGCAGGCAAGTTATTAGGTCACTAAGAACTGCCAGCTACTACTGTGTGAAGACTGTCAGGCAGGTTCTTTGTTAACAAATCCACAAGAAGAACTCTTTGCTATAAATGATGTCATAGCGAGGCAGAGGTGGAGATGTTAAGGGCAGTAATCCTTTTCCTTTAGATGGTTTATTTTACATGAAATCATGAAGAGAGAGCTGTAAGAAAACAATTACCTAAGTAAGCATAAATTTATTCTAGGTTTCCATTGGAAAAAGTTATTTTTAAGTTCTGTGTCAAAATTTTTCAGTGGTGTAAATACATTTAAATTATAATATTGGAAGCAATGGATAGGTGATTGGTTTGTGAATCATCAATGAACAGTTAGTTGGCCTTTAGGTAAACTGATAAGCATTTTAGTCTGGTTTTTTTTTTTTTTTGAAGTATAAGCAAAAATACATTACAACTGAATGACATAGCCTTAAAAATGTAAGGCAACATGTTTATGTTTAGTTCATTGTTTTCAGGCACTGGTTTCTTGTATATGGTGACTAATTACTCTGAGGGTTTTTTTCCCTCAATTTTTAAAAATGAATTATTTTTAAAAGCTTGTTTGGGAATTTATAAGGGCAGCTGGGAGGAGCAGAATTAGAAAATCTCTAGGTAAAATCATCTCTAAATTTGTTTTGTTCATTTTCCTAGATCCTGATTCATAATAAATAGAGAATTGCTGCAATGTGGCATTTAAAACTAAAGTTTTAAAATATGATTTAAGAACATTTGTATACAGTCTTTCATTTAAATCAAAATTTAAAGAATAGTTTATGATGTTACTGAGTTAAAAGCATAATCATTGCTCATGGAGAAAATGACTTTTAAGGACCCTGATTTACTTCCAATTCGGTTTTTAATACTTCATCCAAAAAAAAGTACTTTGTCTAAACTTTTTTCCTGTCACTCATGTAATCAGTGATTTTTAATATAATATGACCCCATGGCAGTCAAGTCTTTAAATTTTATAGAGTCTCTCTGTGTGTTGTGCAGCCTTTAATATAGATATATTTATAATGGGGTGGCGCTTGGTGAAGTGCTATCTAACATATCGAATGAAATAAATGGATTATTTTACAAAAACTTTTCAGTGATACAAATATAACCTAAACCTACTTGCTTTAAATTAGAGAACTTGTTATCCACAAAACATCGAGGACAAAGGAAATAACTACTTAAGGTTAAACGAACTTGCTGAAACTATTAGGAAAAAATGAATAGAAAAAATTACTTCTACATCTGTTTATACATTGTGAAAGTAGAATGTGCTTATTTGCATTGTTGAGTATCTTTACTAATCATAGAAAGTAGAAGAGAATAAAACTAATTAGATAATAATCTTTCCCAGTTCCTTGCTTAAAGCAAAACATGATTTTCCTTTTCATTTGAATGACGATTTGGTGTTTGAGAACCTCTTTGATTAGATTAAGAGTGAAAATTAAAAGAGAAAATACCTTTATACTTGTGGAATGTTAGTCCACAAGAAGTGACTAAGGAAAATCTAATATAATACAGTCCTGTGTGATCTGAAAAGATCACTATTCAAAATTGCAGAGAAAGGCATATCCCTGCCAGAAGGGTGTCCTTCGTAACCAAATTTGGTGTTTAGCCTGGTCTGTTCAGACTCAAATAGGAATCATCTCACTTATGAAATCTAAGGTATAGTTGCAGCTCAGATAAACTTATTCCTATTTGGTTTGTCTCCTTGAAGCCTAAGTCAGAAGTTGAATGCATCATGTGACTTGGAGTTTAGTAAAATTGAAATTTGAAACTTGGAATATATTTGAAGATACATAAGAATAAAAGGCTGCATAATGTACATTTCAAGGCTAAAAACCAGGTGTTTAGATATAGGTGTCCAGATATATTGAGTTTTCCTTTGTTTAATTTATTTGAAAGATAGAGATAGAAATAATGTCTTCATTATAGAACATTAGAAATTTTTATTTTCACAGAGTCATGATATTTATCCCAGGAAGCCAGGGTCAGTTGGTAACTTATGGCTAGATCTTCAATCAGAACATTTACCTTACTTAATATACTTAATTATAATTTGGTTTTACAGTCAAAATAAGGAGACTTTTGTCAGCTTGATGCTAGACACTTCTGTTAATTTTTTATTTAACGTTGTTATAACTTCTAGAAAAATAATCACTCAATCTCAACTTAGTTTTTTTCATGTTTGTGTGTTGCCTTTTTTTTTTGAGACAGAGTCTCACTCTTGCCAGGGCTAGAGTGCCATGGCGTCAGCCTAGCTCACAGCAACCTCAGACTCCTGGGCTCAAGCAATCCTCCTGCCTCAGCCTCCCAGGTAGCTGGGACTACAGGCATGTGCCACCATGCCCAGCTAATTTTTTCTATATATTTTTAGTTAGCCAATTAATTTCTTTCTATTTTTAGTAGAGATGGGGTCTCGCTTTTGCTCAGGCTAGTCTCGAACTCCTGAGCTCAAACAGTCTGCCCACCTCGGCCTCCCAGAGTGCTAGGATTACAGGTGTGAGCCACCGCACCCGGCCTGTGTGTTGCCTTTTTAATAATTGCCATTTAGATTATTTTAGTAAGGTTGTAGTGATAGTTTGCATATACGCTATAAGATGATGCTAGAGTAAACAGCTGCATAAAGTATTAAGGCAGGCTTTATTATATTATTTTTGACATGTCTTTTTGTAAATGGTTTAGGAGCACTATTTTCTATTGATGTAAAAATCGAGATAGGACTCAAAGCTCAGTATTATTCCTTCTATTCTTTAAATGTGTATTTTAGTAATATTATTTGACTTCTTTTGTAGGGATGCATTTGTCTTCATACTTTTACCTATTTTCTATTGAGTAACTTGTTTCTTCCAAACAAAATTAGAATTAATAATTTTTTTGCTTTCATAATATTTTTACACATTATTAAACACATATTTGGGCTAATTGCCATCTCATCTTGACTTCTTTACCAGATTATAAATTCTTTAAGGCTAGAGGCTGCGGCCATTTCAATTCATTGACATTACTTGATCACACATGTATTAGATCTTAGTATATAGCTTCTTAGCTAAGTATTCCAGAGGGGTTTTTGTTTGTTTGTTTTGGTTTTTTTTTGAGACAGAGTCTCAGTCTGTTGCCTGGGCCAGAGTGGTGTCAGCCTAGCTCACAGCAACCTCAAACTCCTGGGCTCAAGCAATCCTCCTGCCTCAGCCTCCCAGGTAGCTGGGACTACAGGCATGCGCCACCATGCCCGGGCAATTTTTTCTCTATATATTTTTAGTTGGCCAATTAATTTCTTTCTATTTTTAGCAGAGACAGGATCTCGCTCTTGCTCAGGCTGGTTTCAAACTCCTGACCTTGAGTGATCCTCTCGCCTAGACCTCCCAGAGAGCTAGGATTATAGGTGTGAGCCACCTTGCCCATCCTAGTATTTGAGACTTTACTTAGCCTTATCCTCTGTTACTCTTTGAATCCTACAGCCTGAAATGATTTCAGAAATAGAAATATTTAATTAGTACAATTAATTACATGGTCTATGCTAATAACTAAAATATTTCTAAAATGATAAATAAATGTGTTATTCATCTACAATATCTGATACCTTTTTTTTTTTTTTTTTTTGAGACAGTCTTGCTTTGTTGCCCAGGCTAGAGTGAGTGCCGTGGTGTCATTTTTTTTTTTTTTTTTTTGAGACAGTCTTGCTTTGTTGCCCAGGCTAGAGTGAGTGCCGTGGTGTCAGCCTAGCTCACAGCAACCTCGATCTCCTGGGCTCAAGCACTCCTTCTGCCTCAGCCTCCCGAGTAGCTGGGACTACAGGCATGCGCCACCATGCCCGGCTGATTTTCTCTCTATATATTAGTTGGCCAATTAATTTCTTCCTATTTATAGTAGAGACAAGGTCTGGCTCTTGCTCAGGCTGTTTTTTAACTTCTGACCTCGAGCAATTGTCCCGCCTCGGCCTCCCAGAGTGCTAGGATTACAGGCGTGAGCCACCGTGCCCAGCCCAATATCTGATATCTTATAGTTACTAAATAAATGTTTGCTATATAAATAAAGAAAAAAATTACTTCCTTTTTGCAAAGAAAAACAGTATGGTTTATTTCTGGGTAGTTATTTTGATTGTACTTGTATATGTTTTTGGAATTATTTACCATGAATATCTTGGATCATCAGTAAAATAATAGATTATGGGTTTTTTAGCCACACTTATAGAATTGATTGTTAATGTCTTAGCATCTGAGTAAAAAGATACTTTCATATTTGTTATAGCTAAAGAGTAATCAGAAGTCTGATTGATGCCTCTTTTAAATTGATGCCAAAGTGAGGTCATCTTAGTATGTCTGTCAGGAATGCTTTCCGCTTCAGAGGGATAACAAACAGCTAATAGTGGCTCAAATAAATAAGAAGTTGTTTTTCTCATATAACAAAAGCCTGGAGATAGATCCTACTGCTACCATGTCAAGCACCCTAACTCTGTCATACTCTATCATCCTTAGCTGTTGACTTTTCATCATCATATTTGCAAGATGGATGCTACAGCTCCAGGCATTCATTCCGGGAAGGAGAAAGGGCAGTTTCAGCTGAGATGGTCCGTTTTATCAGTAAAATGACACCTTTCTTAGACATCTCCTAGCAGACCACCACTTCATGCTATCCAGAACTTGGTCGGAGACTAGGCTAGCAGGCATTTGGCTTTCCAGCTTACTTAGTGGAGCTAGCAAGGCAAAGGGGAATTGGGAGTGGCTTTGGATAGCCTTTTGGGAGTATCTGCTTTATTATTATTGTTATTCTAAGCTTTGGGTGGGGGGAGATTGTGGGATATAGTTTCTCAAAGTTAGATCTTTTTCTGCTAAGACCTAGGAAGTATTCTATAATATTAAGGGTTTGTTTTTTTTTTGTTTTTTTTTTTAAGGGCTCAGCTGCTTTCGTTTAGAAAAAACTAGAGAACAGGCAGATATTTGCAAATACGTAGAGCCTCCTTGCCTTGCTCATCTTCAGATGCTCCTTCTGTCTCCCAGATTATCTTTTCTTTCTTTTTTTCTTTTGAAACAGAGTCTCGCTCTATCACCCCAGGTAAGAGTGCAGTGTGTCATCGTAGCTCACTGCAACTTCTAGCTCCTGGGCTCAAGCAATCCTCCTGCCTCAGCCTCCCAAGTAGCTGGGACAACAGGTGCACCCAGCTAATTTTTTTCTATTTTTAATAGGGGTGGGGTCTTGCTCTTGCTCTGGCTGGTCTTGAAGTCCTGAGCTCAAGCGATCCTCCCACCTTGGCCTCCCAGAGTGCTAGGATTACATGTGTGAGCCACCGTGCTCGGCTGATTATCTTTCTTTTCAACTTGCTCAGGTCTCACCTAACTTTAAAACAAAAAAATCTTTCTTAGACCCACAGCCAAATTTTCTGCTCTACTTGGTTCCCTCCCATTATTTTTTCAACTCATTCCAACCTTACTTTTGTCATTGGATATTTTTCAATTCTGTCTTGACCTTACAGCTATATTTGACATAATCACTTCCTCCCTGAAAATTTTTCCTTGACTTGCATGGACACTATATTCTGATTTTTTTTTTTTCATTCAGTGGCTCTGGTTCCTCCTTGGACTATATTAGCATTTCTCCAAGAATGGTCCATGGAGTCCCCAAGATCATTTGAGGGGTTCACAGGGTCAAAACTGTTTTCAAAATAGGATGCTATTTGTCTTTTACACTATTGATAATTGCATTTGAGCCTTGCTCCTTGTATTAATACATCAAGCTTAACAACTTCTTTTGGCTTCTTGAATGTGTAAACATCCTAGTCCCAACGTCTAGACTACTTTCCCACATTAAACCTCCCTCTCCCTTTATGACTAATATTGAAAGAGATGGCATTTAACTGGGTGCTACATTTATTCCTCAGTTCTTAAATGTCCCTTAACCTTAAGCATCCCTTCTCCAAGAGTATTTCTGCTGGTCTCCTCTAGACTCAGGTTCTCCTCTTATATGCACTGTTTGCAATTTTCATAGCACTGAGTTGCATGATTCCAAATTCTATTCACTTAATTGTCTAATGTCTACCCTACTGTTAACTGAGGCCCACTAAACCAGAGAGTGACTCTTGGTCATCATTCCTGCATGGCGCCTTACATTTCATAAATATTTGTTAAACGAAAGAATTACTAGAAAGCTGTTGCGGGCCAGGCACAGTGGCTCATGCCTATAAACCTCTAAAACTAGCTCTTTGGCAGGCCAGGGCAGGAGGATCACTTGAGGCCAGAAGTTCAAGACCACCCAGAGCAACATAGCAAGACCTAAACGTTTTTTTAAAAATTAGCTGGGTGTGGTGGTGTGCACTCGTAGTCCCAGCTACTTGGGAGGCTGAGGCAGGAGGGTCGCTTGAGCTCAGCAGTTTGAAGTGACAGTGAGCTGTAATCATGCCACTGTACTCTAGCTCAGGCAACAGAGCAAGACCTTGTGTCAAAATAACAACAAAGAAAACAAAAGAACTGTTGCAGTAAATTGAAAAGCTGAATGGAGTAGTGGAAAGAGGCCTGACCTGATGGGTTTGAATTTTAATTTAGTTTTGTCATTAACAACTTTTGTACCTTTTAAGAGTCTATCTTCTTTTTTCCCCCACAAAATAGAATTAGTATTGAAAATAGAGTCTCAGTACCTGACAGAGTAGATACTTATTTTTTAAAAATTCACTTGGCAGTATTTGAGTGGCTAACATAGTAGTGCTGTTTGTAGTTACTGTGCTACCTTGGGGAATACAGCAAAGCCTGACACAGAATTCTTGTTTTCCTGGAGTTTATAGTAGTTGATTTGTACATGATGAGCCTCTAAGGTCCTTTCTATGAAGTAATGCATATTAGGTATACTATTTTGAAGATTAAATATATGATGGCATCTGTAAAGGAGCTTAGAAATGTCTATTTGCCTTTAATTTGTGTAGTTGAAATATTTTGTTTTTGTTTTTTAGTCCAAGCCTTACGCATTTGATCGGGTGTTCCAGTCAAGCACATCTCAAGAGCAAGTGTATAATGACTGTGCAAAGAAGATTGTTAAAGGTAAATATGTTTAACCTGCTGAGTTATACCAGCAATAAGTAAAATTTAGTGATCTTTACCACTCATTCAACATTTTCTTTTTCATTTTAATGCCCTTTTCTTCTAGATTAACTGCAGAAGAAAACTGTTTAATAAAAAGGTCAAATATACTTAGTAAACGTATGTTTACTATTGCTCAAATTCCATGACCTAATTATATGCAGTACCTGGTGAAGGATTTTATAAGAATTATGTTACATACTTATTCTTGAAAGATAATTTCTATCAGATATTCCCAGGAGCTTCCAAGGTGGCACTTCTAGAAATTGAACACCATGAGAATGAAAACAAAATGGCTAGGCAAGTTTCTAAAAAGTAGTAAAAAATGGCAGTCTGTCATTCTTCCATTCCATTGTTATTCTTTCCCCAAAGACTTATCAGAGACTCTCTTAAGAAATTTAACACGGATTGTCAAGAGTGAGAAAAACATATGTTTTCCAGTTAATACTATTAATTTAGACTACGGTATTATCAATTTTATATTTTCTAAAACCATAGAACTCCAGAGCTGAGAGTGTGTTAAGTGATTATCTGGAGTTAATTCCACTCTCTATACAAATCCTTTTTATCAAAGGAATCTTAACAGTTAAATGGCTATTACTTTGTGTTATGATTTATTCCATTTTTTGGTAGCTCTAGCTGTTTAAAAGTGCTTCTTATTAGATTGAGGCAAAATCTGTCTTGTGGCATTCACCAGATTAGAGGGGTTGGGATTCAGTATAAAAGTGGGATGATTAGGATGATATAGGAGCACAGACAGTCACCTAATAACAGGAGAGGAAGAATTATAGAAGCAGGTTTATAGATGTGAAGGAGGGGAGGTGTAGATGTTCTCTTTGTATTCTCTTTTGTCTAATATAGGGAATAAAGTCATCACAGAGATTGAGTAAGGGGGAAGGAGTTCTAGGAAAAGGCATGAAATGGATGGATTCAGGAAACGTGACAGTATTGCCAGGAAGTATTAAGGGCCCACTTGAGGGTAGCAACTGGAAGAAATGAATTTGCCCATTTGGAGTTTTGCCATGGAAGTAGGAAAGAGAGAGAGAAGGGCAAGAGAACTGGGGATGTTGTCAAGGGAGTGATTATAATGGTGGACCATGGAATCTAAAGTGGGTAAGTTATAGGAAGGAGGACATGAAGGCTGAAAAATAGTGGGGAAGGGTGATAAGATTAATGGGTTATAGATCTCCGTGGGGTCAGAGGTTTTTGGAATCTGTATGAGAAGGAGTAATAGAAGGTGGATAGACGGTCTCCAACTTAGGATATTTCAGTTTAAAATTTTTTGATTTTACAGTGGTACAAAAGGGATATGCATTCACTAAAAACCATACTTGGGGTACCCATACAACAAGTATTTCACTCTCAGTACAATATTCAATAAATTACATGAAACTTTCAACACTTTATTATAAAATAGGCTTTATGTTAGATGGCTTTGCCCAACTGTAAGCTTATGTAAGTGTTCTGAGCACATTTAGGATAGGCTAGTCAGTGCCATGATGTTCAGTAGGTTAGGTGTATTTAATACATTTTCAACTTGTGATTCATTGGGAATCATAAGTCAAGGAGCATCTTACTTAAACTTGAGATTATGGAGGCAGTGCAATTAGTAATGAAAATGTCAGGATATTACCATGGAGTTGGCATCTGAAGTAGTAAAGGATATGATTGTGTAGAAAAGTAGGTTAAAGATCTGAGAGAGCAGGGTATTTTAGTGGGATTATCTACTACATGGATGTTAAAACCACCAAGAATTGCAACAGGAGTGATGTTGGTAAGAGATAGTGAACTGGATCTGAAATCTTTATAAAATGAAGGGGAATTAATTTGTGATTCTGTAAGTGAATACATCAAAGAAGAACAGGCAGTGTCATCTTAGGTTGTAAGCATCAAATAGTTTTCCATATGAATCTATCATAGAGTCCAATTATATTATGTTCTTTGATTATGCTATACTTTTGTCATCTGTTTATAATTATGGATTACATTAGCTTTATAAATAATAAAGAGTTATTGATTCATGAACTCATGGGCAATTTAAATGTACATACAGGCCTGGCACGGTGGCTCACACCTGTAATCCTAGCACTCTGGGTGGGAGGCCAAGGAGGAAGGATCACTCAAGGTCAGGAGTTCAAAACCAGCCTGAGCAAGAGCAAGACCCTGTCTTTATGAAAGAAATTAATTGGCCAACTAAAACTATATAGAAAAAATGAGCTGGGCATGGTGGCACATGCCTGTAGTCCCAGCTACTCAGGAGGCTGAGGCAGAAGGATCACTTGAGCCCAGGAGTTTGAAGTTGTTGTGAGCTAGGCTGATGCCAAGGCACTCTAGCCTGGGCAACAGAGTGAGACTCTGTCTCAAAAAATAAATAAATAAATGTGCATACAGGTCTTTTTCATATCTGTTGCAGTCAGCAGCCTTAAACCCCATTCCATGCTTGGACTTTGGAGTACAAGCATTTAAAATGAAGATTCTATTTTGTTCATTTTAGCTCTTGATCATGTTTTGATTTTTTAAAATAATTATGTTGCTAGAGATCTAAGTTGGCTCTCAGTATATTTGATGAGTTTATTAGTACCAAAGACATTGAAGTTTGAAAAATACTCTTCTAAGGCCAGGCATGGTGTCTCATACCTGTAATCCTAGCACTCTGAGGCAGGAGGATTGCTTGAGGTCAGGAGCAAGAGCGAGACCCCATCTGTACTAAAAGTAGAAAGAAATTAGCCAGACAACTAAAAATATATAGAAAAAATTAGCTGGGCATGGTGGCACATGCCTGTAATCTCAGCTACTCGGGAGGCTGAGGCAGGAGGATTGCTTGAGCCCAGGAGTTTGAGGTTGCTGTGAGCTAGGCTGATGCCACGGCACTCTAGCTCAGGCAACAGAGTGAGACTCTTTCTCAAAAAAAAAAAAAAGAGAGAGAAAAATATTCTTCTAAGTCATTTATAAAATGCTTAATGGGGCATGGTCCTTAGCTTAATTTTCTAAAAACTGAATAAGGTTAGTGGCAGTTAATTAAATCACACAGTTGGATATTCAACCAATTCAGAGCCTCTTACCTGTGCAATTATCTAGCTCTTAGCTTGTCAACATGCCCACAAGAATATGATGAGAAACTTGGATATTTTTATGATACCATGGTGCATGACTGGTATTTGCCCAGAGTACCAGTTGAATGACCCTGTACAAACAGGAATTGAAGTTAGATCAACCATAGTTTTTCCTTAGTGAAATTTTAATATACTTATTCCCATAATCATTTTTCCCGTTTTGAAAATGAGATTACAGTTGCAAGTTACTCACCTTCTTTTTGTTACCTTTGTTCTCTCTGGCTTTTAAAACTTACCTGCAGTAGCTGTGAGATTTTTCCCTGGAATGCAGTTCTCTTTATAACTAGAAACTTGGACTCATTTATAAAACCATTCTTTTGTTGTTGTCCTAGCCACATCAACCCTAACGTCTCTCTCGATAGTGTTTATTCTGTCTGTTGGTCTGTTTTAAGGATCATGTTTGTGGAAAATGGTGTGGATGATGTCTTAATATCATCAGTTAATGTTTTATCTTTTTTAGGCAATATAAGTTTATTGATTATTTTTGTGAATATGAATGTAAAAGTTATTTTTAGGCCTTTAGTTTTAATTTTGTTTTGCTTTTATAAGACTTACTTATCCTGGGCTTTTACCTTTCTCAGACTATTCTAGGGAATTTTTTCTCAGTTTTGTACATCCATGGTTATATGTAGTCTCTTAATTATAGACTCTGTCTCAGAATCTTTTGAAATCTATTATCCTGACATCTAGGATTTGTATATTTACTACTTTTATTCTATTTTATTACTATTCACAATTCTAAGATGAAATAATTTCTTTCCTGAAATTTCCCTCTTTTTCTCAAAATTTTAGTCTCTTCTTCACCAGCATGTTAACTGCTTTACTTTCTGAAACCACATTCAGGATAATAGTTCTACTCTTTGCAGTGTGGTAAGAATATAGTCTTTGGAATCATACAGCTCTAGACTGAAGCCTATTGTCTAGTATGACTTTCAGCAAGTTACCTAACCTGAGTCTACATTTCTTCTTCTGCAAAATAGGAGATATCAGGAATATTTAAGCACACATAGATATATTAGTCTTTAATTGTTTCTTCTATCTTCTGAGAGAGGAAACCATTTTCTTAATCAGCCACAGTTATACTTGAGATAAACTCATAGTCTAAGATATTTCCACTGTGTAAAATTAGACTTCCAGCAAGTGTTAGAATAGAAAGTTTCTGTCACTATCTCTTTCCTCTTCTCTGCCAGTTTTGCAGTTTATATTATGTCAGTATCACCTGGCTGTAACTTTTTCCTTTTTTCTTCACCCAAATGCTTTCTGCCATTTTATGTAGTAGCTAGGGGGGCTTGCCCTGGACAAGGATATGAATGTGACATAGTTACCAATAAATATGTAGATTTAAGGAGAGAGATGGTGTGGGGGTAGGTGGTGGGTTCCTAGTGAGGTGGGAGGACAGGAAACCAATTTAAATACATGGCAGGTTGGACTTGGGACAATCATTGATAAACAGATTAGGTGGGAATCCATGGTTAGAAACTGTTGGTAGGCAAGGATCAACAGAATAATAGGCAAACTGGGATCTCTTTCAAGATACGGATTTGATAAGCAAGCTTCCAGGAATGACCTGAAAGCAGATAGTATTTTCTTGGCCCCTGCCAGTTCATTGAGGTTGCATTGGTTTATAAATTTCTATACAAGTGTGTAACTGTATTATGTATATGGCTGTTACCCTTCCCTTTTTGTGGATTCGTTAGATAGAATTGTTTCTTTGAATGAGGTTCACCCACTTGTGTTCTCTTGAATTCCAAGATCTAAGTGATTTCTGTACGCCTACTGTATACCCGGCATTATATCAGGCCTTTGTAGATTTCCTAGTTTCCACCATGGCTTCCTGACCTGAACTGTCTACCACAGTGTCACCTTTGGAGGAGGATACTTTGGTTTTTCCAGATGTGGACTGTCATGTGTTTATTTTTGTTCCTGGGACTTTAGTACAGCAGTTAAGAACATGTCTTGTGCCAAGATAGTGTTTGCATCTCAGCTTTATCTTACTAGCTGTGGAACTATAGGCAAGTTATTTAACCTCTCTTTGTCTTAGTTTTCTCATCTGTAAAATGGAACTAATAATAGTACCTTGCATATAGTTTTGTGATGATTAAATATAATAATATATGAAAAGTGGTTAGAGCTTGGCACATAAGTTCTCAAATGTTAACACTAATAATTTTATGTGATATTTCTGATTCTCACAGCCTTCCCCTAAGCAGACAGACATTTTGCTGATAAGAAAGCTGAAGTTCAGAGAGATTAAGTGACTTTTATAAGGTGATGTGCTCACTTAGCCAAATATATTTTTCCTGTGTATAGAAGGAAATAATCTGTATCCATAGTTGTTCACTTGTCCATTTCTCATAAGGATGACAAAAGTATAATTAAGAGGGGGAGGGAGGCTTTAGAAAGATGCTGTGTATTAGCGATGGTAATAATCATTCAGCAAGCATTCAAGTTCCTACTGAGTGCCAGGCACTGTGCTAGGAATTTAACTCAGTCCTTACTACAGTAAGTTTACTGGCCAGTGAGGGAAGCAGACAAATAAATTGACACAATACTTAGTGATAAGTATTTTTATTAAATGCAGATATTATAAGAACACATAGAATGAAACTTCTACCCAGATTTATTTGTGGAGCTGAGTTAGAGGAAATAAAGCCTGAGCACAAAGGATGCACAAAAAGTAGGAAAAAGGGAGGGCATGTCTTCTAGGCACAGAGATGACACCTGGGCAAAGGCATGCTCATATGCGAAGGGTATATTATGTGTGTGAGGAGCAGCGCATATTATGGTATGACTTTGGGGTGAACCATATGAAATCATTAGACTTGACTATTTTCACCAACAAAAACAGCAATATGAGGACAGGGATTATGGGGGATGGAGCTGAAAAGAAGGGAGACACAGGTAAAAAAGTGCCTAATTTTATCTGATGACAGATGCTCATTCACTAGGCTTTTCAGAATATTCAAAAATGATTATTATTCATATTTAGAAGATCCATGCTATGATATCTGCATTTCATTGTACATTTCACCTCAGAGGAAAAATATAAAATATTGAATTCTAGTTAATGATATATGCATGGTGAAGGATTTAGGTGGAAGTGTCAATTTACTTTGACATTTATTTTTAAAAAGATGGATGAATAGAAGGATGGATAGATAGACACATGATTAAAACAATAAAATGCTAAAATGTTAGGGGTAGGATCTTTGTAGTTACAGGAGTGTTTATTGTAAAATTCATTCAATTTTTGTATACATTGATATCTTTTAATATAGAGTTTTGGGGGTGATTTTACTATAGAAAGCAGTCAAGAATAGATTTGAAGATAGGGAAAAAGTGATTATGTTTCTAGTTGATAAAAATGTTATTGCTGTAGTTATACCCGGCATATCCAGAAATCACCTTGTCAGTTGCATCCCTTGTACCCAGAGCAGAGCATAGATCATAGCAGGTGTCAGTAAATATTTTAATGTTGAATATTCCATAATCTCTGTAATCATATGAAACTTTTAAAGTTATGCTTAAAGTCCCTAATGTGTTACATACATGCATTTATTCTAGGAGCTCTCGTATACTGTACCTTAATAGTTTCACATGGTGCAAATGTACCTATTGTGGTAGTAGCTATATAATTGGATCATATCATGAATCCAATCTTTTAAAGATCTGACAGAAATCTGAATTTTATGCTTAGACTTTATGTGCTTGATTTAAAAGTCTTAAGTAGGGGCTGTGACATAGACATATTGAGAATGATTGTATATAAAGAAAGGGAATTTGAATGGGCCTACTGCTTTTTTCTTCTTCAGAATTGCAGACAGAAGTGCTACAATCCCATCTGTTGTTAAGTATGATTTATGAAATAATTTTGCTTCCTTTCCTAAAAATGAGAAGATTTTGAAGGAAAGTTTCAAATGTTTGGAGTCTCTTAAGATCTTAAAGAGTCTCTTAAGATCTTTAAGATCTTAAAATCTTCCGAGGAAAATAAGTTCTGATGGCTTCTTTTTCTCATTAATAAATGTTTCTGTAAGAAAGCTATTATCTAGTTAGTTGTGCCTGGTGTTGGATTTTTTGTTTCTTTTTTATTTATTTATTTACTTTTTGAGACAGAGTCTCACTTTATTGCCCAGACTAGACTGAGTGCTGTTGCGTCAGCCTAGCTCACAGCAACCTCAAACTCCTGGGCTCAAGCAGTCCTTCTGCCTCAGCCTTCTGAGTAGCTGGGACTACAGGCATGCGCCACCACACCCGGCTAATTTTTTCTACATATATTAGTTGGCCAATTAATTTCTTTCTATTTATAATAGAGACGGGGTCTTGCTTTTTGCTCAGGCTGGTTTTGAACTCCTGACCTTAAGCAATCTGTCCACCTTAGCCTCCCAGAGTGCTTCCTTTTTCTTTTTTAAATAATCTATAAAAACAAGGATTGGCTTGCTTACTGCTTTATTTACTGTTATCTACTGTTGCCAGCAGAGACTTCTCTTTTTACATTGGCTTCCTCTAGAATGGACATTGCACTTTTCTTGTCACCTTGTTTGCCCACATTCTTTTATTTTTCCCTTTGACCTAATAACTGCGTATACTTAAATGTTAATGGCAAATCCTTGGCTACACCAAGGTCTAGAAAAGATTTTTTTCTTTAATTTCATAGGAACTTGCTGAATAATTGATTTTGAGGTAGGACTGAGCATGGGATAAAGAGGAAGGTACGCATTTGTGAGATTTAACCACCAGTTAACCATCAATTAGTCCTGTTTCTAAAATCTTAATTCATGTCTATACATAAATTGGCAAGGGATTTTTTCTTATAGGTCACATAAAGCTTTGGAATACAAATGTAATGGCATTTGAGAATGTAGATTGATAGAAGAGATTATTGATTATAAGCAATGGAATTTAAAATTTCTTTTTCTTCCTTTTTTGAGTCTCACTCTGTTGCCCCAGCTAGAGTACCGTTGCGTCAGCCTAGCTCACAGCAACCTCAAATTCTCGGGCTCAAGCGATCCTTCTGCCTCTGCCTCCGAGTAGCTGGGACTACAGGCATGCGCCACCATGCCCGGTTAATTTTTTCTTTTTGGTAGAGAAGGGGTCTCGCTCTTGCTCAGGCTGGTTTCGAACTCCTTAGCTCAAACGAGTGCCTTGGCCTGCCTCGGCCTCACTGTAAAATTTCTTAACCACAGAAAGCAATCTGGGTCCAAGAGAAAGTAATGCTTAGATGGATGGATCATCACTAAGAAAATTTACTATAAAATATTAATATATTGTTTCCTTTAATGTCTTTATAAATCCTTTATGTACTAAACTTTGACTTTAACGGATCTTTCATATTAGTGTAAAGAAAATCTGAATCTTGAGGGGTGGGGGACAAAAAAAGAAAGAAAATCTGAATCTTTGTCACCATTCTTTACACAGATGCTTTATGCAGAATTGAGTGTGCATGGATTAGGAAGAGGGTTGTGTGTGTGAATTTATTTTAGAGTTTTTCTATGTCACTAAGGATAAACATATGACGTTTTCCTGTAACATTCTTTAAGTAATTTCTTACGAATTTTAAGGAAAAAATTCCCTGAAGTTTAACATCTTCAATTTTCTCCTAGATGTACTTGAGGGCTACAATGGGACAATATTTGCATATGGACAAACATCATCTGGGAAGACACATACAATGGAGGTAATGTTGTATAATCTGTACTTAGATGTAGTATATTCATTCATTCATTTGTGAAATTATTTTACCATGCTTAAACATCTTTATTTACTCTTCATTGCTTTTTCTCATATGAATAATATACAGGTAACATCATTGTTCGAGTCTAACCAGTTCTTGAGTTTGAATAGTAAGGGATACCTCTGTTTGAGATTATATATAGCTTTGTTTTATTAGTTAGAGTTAAACATGAACTTTCTGTGACCCTGTTATATGCGAAATTTTTGAATGCTTGTGTGTTACTGATTCTGTTCAGAATGATTACTTTTTTCCTTTTCTTGGGTCCTCCTCCTAAAAATACCTGCAGTCTTCTCTGATAAGAATATTGTCATAGTTATCGGTTTTGCTGTTAATACATGTGGACCTGCCCTAGCTTTTCTTCTAAAAAACAACCTGTGATGTTCTTCCACTACCGCAGAAGAATAACTGCTTATTTTAGCGTGATTCGTATTACTCATTTTCATAGTTTCAGAGAACAAAGACGTTGTTAGCATTTGCCTAAATTTGACATGAAGTGGAAGGCACATTTATTTATTTTATTTATTTATTTTGAGACAGAATCTCACTCTGCTTCCCAGGCTAGAGTGAGTGCCGTGGCGTCAGCCTAGCTCACAGCAAACGCTCAGATGCTCCTGGCTCAAGCAATCCTTCTGCCTCAGCCTCCCGAGTAGCTGGGACTACGGCATGTGCCACCGTGCCCAGCTAATTTTTTTTTGTATTTATATTTTTACTTGGTCGATTAATTTCTTTCTGTTTTTGGTAGAGACGAGGTCTCGCTCAACCTGGTTTCGAACTCCTGACCTTGAGCAATCCGCCCGCTTCGGCCTCCCAGAGTGCTAGGATTACAGGCGTGAGCCACTACGCCTGGCCTGGAAGGAACAATGTAGAAACTCATTTTTTGAATATGTTCATATATGTGTCATTGTTGAGTTGGGATTTTAGGCATTTATGAGCCATTGGCACACACACAAAAAATAACAATTAAATTCCTGTCCTTTATTAACTGTAAATTGTAGATTGGAAGTGTTGTTTTAATTCATATTTTATAATTTGTGTTAAGAAATCTAGTTTTGTTCCTGTTTAGGGTAAACTTCATGATCCAGAAGCATGGGATTATTAGAATAGTCAAGATATTTTTAATTATATTTACTCCATGGATGAAAATTTGGAATTCACATTAAGGTAAATTCCTTGGGGAAAGATTGTATTTTATTTTACACCTATAATAATTAAAGTAGTTTCTTAAAGGAATTTTAAAAATTATTTTTATGGACAAGCATAGTTGAAATATCATTAGAATTAATAAACTTGGATCCTGTGTCATCTGCCATTAGATGACCTTAAATAAGTTAGCTAAGTTTTCTTGTTTTAGCCTCCTTCTTGATAAATAAAGGAGTTTGCTTACTACAGAACATGAAGTTCCTACTCTAACTATTCTGATTATTTTAGATGAGAGATGTGTGAGTCAAAATGACTTTTAATTTTAGTTATTTAAAGAGTTTGCTAATTTATGTCTTGCCATTAGAATGTGAGCTATGGCTGGTATGTTGATATCTCTGCCTCCTAGTGTAGACAGTACCTGTAGCTTAGACCTCAATAAATTTTAATAAATGCATAGCTGTTTTATAATTTATTTGGTTGACCTTTTTTCCTTTTTATTGCCATTTAGGTTCTATATTTTTGCAATATATTTGGATAAAATAAGGGACCGTATAGATGGTAAGTTAAATTCTTTCTTGATTGATTTTGAATAGCACAGTACTTCTTTTGTAGAGACAGCTTGTAGCTTTGTTGGCCCCACTGATCCAGTGGCATGATCAGGTGTCATGCAACCTCACACTCCTGGGCTCAACGACCATGAACCATTCGTCTTAATGCTTTTTTTTTTTTTTTTGAGACAGAGTCTCCTTTGTTGCCCAGGCTAGAGTGAGTGCCGTGGGTCAGCCTAGCTCACAGCAACCCAAACTCCTGGGCTCGAGTGATCCTTCTGCTCAGCTCCCGGTAGCTGGACTACAGGCATGCGCCACATGCCCGGCTAATTTTTTTTTGATATATATATGATCAGTTGCAATTAATTTCTTTCTATTTATAGTAGAGACGGGGTCTCGCTCTTGCTCAGGCTGGTTTTGAACTCCTGACCTTGAGCAATCCGCCCACCTCGGCCTCCCAAGAGCTAGGATTACAGGCGTGAGCCACAGCGCCCGGCCCAGTCTTAATGCTTTTATTTATAAAATGTGGGTAGTAGAGGTTGGAGTAGACTTACAATTTCTACGTTCCTGCATTGATTTCTGTTTAAATCTCCTACATCTACAAGGTCTGCTTTAAAAGCAATGTTTCTGTTTTTCTTTAAAGTTCCCCTATTGCTATTAGACTGCTTGAGGAAGTCTTTCAGTTGAATTATTTATTTCACAGCCAGTGTTATAGGTTAGAAGTTGCTAATAGTATTTATTTTTCTTTTTCAGTTTCAAAGACCAACCTTTCAGTCCATGAAGACAAAAACCGAGTTCCCTATGTAAAGGTAATTTTAAAATAATATATTAATAGTTGTTTAGAAAAGCCATGTAGTAAGTTTTTTTAAAAGATACCAACATAATTTTTTATAAATTATTTCACAGGGGTGCACAGAGCGTTTTGTGTGTAGTCCAGATGAAGTTATGGATACCATAGATGAAGGAAAATCGAACAGACATGTAGCAGTTACAAGTAAGTAGAGTGTATAGCACTGGGGCTAGGGTATAAAACAACCTTAAAATATTCTTGTCTAGTTGATTAATTGTAAGTTTTTTATTTTTGTAAATTAATGCTGCAGGAAAATTGTTAGTAAAGGAAAACCATTTTTGTTTATAGTTTGTGTAATTTCATTGCAGATATGAATGAACATAGCTCTAGGAGTCACAGTATATTTCTTATTAATGTAAAACAAGAGAACACGCAAACGGAACAAAAACTGAGTGGAAAACTTTATCTGGTCGATTTAGCTGGTAGTGAGAAGGTAAAGTCTTTATTTATTTTGATAAATATTTAAATATTTTTATAAACTTTAGCTTGAATTGGGACTCATGAAGGATTCATTGTTACATCTTGAAAATTTACCAAATTGAGTTTGGTAATCTGAGAATTATAACTATTGATACCAATGCTTTGTGATTATATAAACTGAACACTTCTAAATTACTGTTATTTGACCATAGTCCAGTTCAGCCAATACGTGCTACCTTTTACTTAAGATGTATATTTTTATTGAGAATTTGTCATATGTCATTAAAAATTTCATTAGGTATCCCTTTCTTAATTTTTGGTGTCTATTTTATCCATATTGGCAGTGGACTCCCTGTTAAAACTGGTAAATATCCATTAATCCTTTCTGGTTTGGTTGTACTTATTTCTTTATTTTAGATGATGATTATAGTTCTACACAGTCTGATTCTAGTTTATATTGAAATCAGAATAAGTTTGAATGTTTTAATATGGACCTCTGTGACTATTTTTGCTAGTTTTGTTTCTTCTGGTTAGAATGATGTATACCTATTTCATTTTACTCAAAAGTCTTATATACGTCTTTCAAAGACTATCTCTAATCTTGTGAATTCTTAGAAGCCATCTCTTCTGCCAACATTGCTTATTTATTTGTCTAACCTGTCTTTAACATAGGTATTTATACATCTTATTTTTTTTTTTTTTGAGACAGAGTCTCGCTTTGTTGCCCAGGCTAGAGTGAGTGCCGGGGCGTCAGCCTGGCTCACAGCAACCTCAGTCTCCTGGGCTCAAGCTATCCTGCTGCCTCAGCCTCCCGAGTAGCTGGGACTACAGGCATGCACCACCATGCCCGGCTAATTTTTTCTATATATTTTTAGTTGGCCAATTAATTTCTTTCTATTTATAGTAGAAACCGGGTCTTGCTGTTGCTCAGGCTGGTTTCGAACTCCTGACCTCGAGCAATCCACCCACCTCCGCCTCCCAGAGTTACATCTTACATTTTTAAAAAAGAAACAAGTTTGCTTATTGTGTAAACTCAGTCTCCGTTTTCTAACAGTTATATCACCATGTGTTTGCAAATTTTAGATTTCTCTTCTAATGTAGCAAAAGGGGACTCACAAATTAATGGACTACAAAATTTACATGTCGGTTGTTTTCAAGAGCACCCACAAATTAAAAATAAGATTTGATGTGTCTTTAATCATAATCTTATCATATAACTAGTTGCTTGACCAAGTTCTTAGAAGAGTAATACTCAAGAAATAGTGGTACCTTAGAGTTAATGCTTGGCAGATAACATGAAGCTTTTCATGTTTTTCTTTCTTTTTTACTGGTTATGATATGTGAACTTTTTAGAAAACTCAGTGTTATCTTAAACTTGTAATTTGGTTTCATTCTTTGGAAATATTATGTATAGGTTAGTAAAACTGGAGCTGAAGGTGCTGTGCTGGATGAAGCTAAGAACATCAACAAGTCACTTTCTGCTCTTGGAAATGTCATTTCTGCTTTGGCTGAGGGTAGTGTGAGTATACATGTCTTCTATTTCCCCATTATCTTATGGGAAATTATTTAAATACAAATGTATATGTATGCATGAGTGTGTATGTACGTGTGTGTGAGAGAGATTTGCTGTGTTTGAATCAGTATGTGTGAATTAGTTGTCATTTAGGAGTTTATAGTATTAGTACATATATCCTACTTTGCATCTTAATATCAAGCAGTTAAAATAACTGAAATAATTTTTTAATTTATTTAAAGTAGCATATTTATATAATAAATTTTATTATCTAGAAACCCACTGATCCTTCTGTATTTTCTTTCCTTGTTTTTTTATGTAGACATATGTTCCATATCGAGATAGTAAAATGACAAGAATCCTTCAAGATTCACTAGGTGGCAACTGTAGAACCACTATTGTAATTTGCTGCTCTCCATCATCATACAATGAGTCTGAAACAAAATCAACACTCTTATTCGGCCAAAGGTTTGTTAAGAAAATACAAAGCCTAAATGTAGATGGCCTTTTATTTATTAAATTTAAGAAAATGTCAGATGGTTGTTATTCAAATCAGTGTATATTGTTAATTTGCTAAACACTCATTTTTAATTGAAAGACAGATAATAGAAGAGAGGTCCATTTTTTAGGCTGCTTGGTTTGAGTTAAGTTTCAGTACATGTTAAAGTTAAATGTTAACTTTGGTCAAACTTATATGGCAATCTTTAATTTAACATTAAAGAATATAAGTATTTGAATTAGATGATAAAGTAAAAGCCTGGCAAAAACAATCCTGTTGACATAAGTGACAGGTTCAAATAATCTATGAGATGGTTAGTCTAGGAAAGTCCATAACTTATCTTTGGACTTCAACAATAATTTCTTAATTTAGACTTGCAAATGAGCAGGAAAAATATAGGCCCTTGTTTTTTTTTATTTTCAATGGATTGTTCCGTTTTTTGTAATTCAGAGATTTTGGGGGCTGACTCAATTTTAGTTGAATTGTGAAAAAGCACTATGCATAATAGCTTTTATTAATCTAACAAATAACTGGATAAGAATAAATTATGTAGCCATATATACATATGTTACATAGGATGTCAGTTAAAAATAATTTTAGTCACATCCTTCTTTCCCCTCCAATTATTTCTCTTAGGGCCAAAACAATTAAGAACACAGTTTGTGTCAATGTAGAGTTAACTGCAGAACAGTGGAAAAAGAAGTATGAGAAAGAAAAAGAAAAAAATAAGATCCTGCGGAACACCATTCAGTGGCTTGAAAATGAACTCAACCGATGGCGTAATGGTAAATAATAACTTAAGAATTTATCGCCGTAGGTTTGTTTGATTATACATAGTTGAGCTCATTTTTAAATGTGAGATTTTGACATAATTGTAAATGAAAATAATAGGCCAGGTACAGTGGTTCACGCTTATAATCTAAGCATTTTGGGAGGCCAAGGTGGGAGGATTGCTTAAGACCACGAGTTCTAGATTAGTCTGAACAACACAGTGAGTCCCCATCTCTACAAAAAATTTTTTGAAAGTAGTCGGGTGTGTTGTCCTAGCTGTAGTCCTAGCTGCTTGGGAGGCTGAGGTGGGAAAATCTCTTGAGCCCACAAGTTTCAGGTTACAGTGAGCCACTGCACTCCAACTTGGGTGACAGAGTGAGACCCTGTCTCTGAATAAAAGGAATGCAAAAGAAAAGTGGGTGTGGTGGCTTATGCCTGTAATCCCAGCACTTTGAGAGGCTGAGATGGGAGGATTGCTTGAGCTCAGGAGTTTGAGACCAGCCTAAGCAAGAAAGAGATCCCATCTCTACTGAAAATAGAAAAAATTAGCCAGGCGTGGTGGTGTGCATCTGTAGTCCCAGTTATTTGGCAGGCTGAGGCAGGAGGATCACTTGAGCTCCTTGGAGTTTGAGGCTGCTGTGAGCTAGGCTGACACCATTGCATTCTAGCCTGGGCAACAGAGTAAGACTCCGTCTCAAAAAAAAAAAAAAAGAAAAAGAAAAGAACAAAGCATATCCATTGTTACTTTTTATGCATTTAGGGATCATAAAAAATGAATAAAATCTTTTATATTAAATTTTGATTTTACCTGAAATAATAAGTATGAGGCATAGAGGCCAATTAGGATGTCACAAGATGATAAGATACCTCAATCAGAGTGGAAATAATAAAATGACAAGATTTGGTGACTAGATTTAGAAGAATGGAGGAAAGCAAAGATAATTTTAGCTGTTCAAATCTCAGGGACTGAACAGATAGGAAAGTTGATAAGAGATGCTGAAAATGAATGAGAGAGAGGGACAGAGCTGCATGGTAGAACAGGATTTTCTGGAGATCACCCTGTGCAGAAACATCTATTTGAATAATTAATCCACACAGAAAAATACCTTTGCAAGACCTAGGGAAACCAGGTGAAAAATCGTAGTACCTGGTCGTGGCACAATAATAAGAAAAGATACATTGAAGAGGGTAGGAAGGATAGTTTTACATTACCCACATCACCTCTCTGGCAACCCTAGGCAGCACAGCAGCATGGAGAGAGATATTGTCCACTTTGGGAAAAAAGGGGAGTGAACATAGGAGTTTGCCTTGGAGCCTACCACTGGTCCCATCACAGTAAAACCTCATGTCAGTGGGAGCCTACAGTTCCAGGTTTGAGGCCTGTAAGCAGACTTCATCTTATACTTCAGTGGCCCTGGACTTCTGGCCCATTCAACACTGGACCACTACAGTGGCCCTGGGCTTCAGAACCATACCAGATGGCCTGCCTAGAATCTTTGGGTTGGGTGACTTTGAAGGGCTTCTTCAGACAAAGCCAGTCTGTGAAGACTGGAATAACCACTTAGGTCTTCAAATGTGCAGGCATTGACACAATCACAATGATCAGGAACATTCAGGGAAGCATGACATCACCAAAGGGATGAAATAAAGTGCCAGCCAGCAAGGACTCTAAAGAAATGGAAGTGTGTGCACTACCTGACAAAGATATAAAAAACTTTTAAGGAAGCTCACTGAACTTGAAGATACATAGAGACAGTTCAATGAAATGAGGAAAACAATAAATGACCAGAACAAGAAATTTAACAGAGACATTGAAATTATTTTTAAAAGTCAAAGAGAAATCCTGGAGCTGAAAAATACAATGAACAAAATGAAAAATACAGTAGAGAGCATCAGCAGCATTGATCAAGCAGAAGAAAGAATCTGTGGACCTGAAGACAGGTTATTTGGAAACACACAGTCAGAAAAGAAAAATGAAAAAAAGGAAATTGAATAAAATTAAAATAAGTTTTAGACATGTAGATTTTTGTTAACCAGTCTATGGTCTTTATTTTAGGGGAGAAAGTGCCTATTGATGAACAGTTTGACAAAGAGAAAGCCAACCTGGAAGCTTTTACAGTGGATAAAGATATTACTATTACCAGTGATAAACCAGCAGCCACAATTGGAGTTACAGGGAATTTTACTGATGCTGAAAAAAGAAAGTGTGAAGAAGAAATTGCTAAATTGTACAAACAACTTGATGACAAGGTAGGTATTGTTTCTTTATAGGTCTGTTTTAAGAATGTTGATATAGCCGGGCGTGGTGGCTCACGCCTGTAATCCTAGCACTTTGGGAGGCTGAGGTGGGTGGATTGCTCAAGGTCAGGAGTTCGAAACCAGCCTGAGCGAGACCCCGTCTCTACCAAAAATAGAAATAAATTAATTGACCAACTAAAAATATATATACAAAAAATTAGCCGGCATGGTGGCGCATGCTGTAGTCCAGCTACTCGGGAGGCTGAGGCAGTAGGATCGCTGAGTCCCGGAGATTGAGGTTGCTGTGAGCCAGGCTGACACCACAGCACTCACTCTAGCCTGGGCAACAAAGTGAGACTCTGTCTCAAAAAAGAAAAGAATATTGATATAGGTGCTTTTTTTCTAATTAATTTCAATATTGTGGGTACTTATGGTTATAGATCTTTGGTTTCTGTTAACCTCTTAAAAATCACTGTATTAATAGAAAATGTAGAATAATTTCAGTTTCTGTGTGGAAACTGTATGAGGGCATATCCTTTTATTCCCTCCTTTTTTTTTTTAAAGGTCTTTCCTCGGTGTTATTCTGAATGGACATTTTTTTTTTTATTTCGGCATATTATGGGGGTACAGATTTTAAGGTTTCAATAAATGCCCATTTCCCCCCCTTCCCCCACAAGTCTGAGTCTCCAGCATGACCATCTCCCAGATGGTGCACATCTCACTCATTATATATGTATGTACCCTCCCCCCTGCCCAATACCCTATTACTGCAGTACCTGTGTGACCACTTAGGTACTGTTCAGTTAATACCAATTTGCTGGTGAGTATATGTGGTGCTTGTTTTTCCGTTCTTGGGAAACTTCACTTAATAGTATGGGTTCCAGCTCTAACCAGGAATATAAGATGTGCTATATCACCATTGTTCTTAGAGCTGAATATACTCCATGGTATACATATAGCACTTATTTATTAATCCATTCTTGGATTGATGGGCACTTGGGCTGTTTCCACAGCCTTGAAATTATGAATTGTGCTGCTATAAACATTCGAGTGCAGGTGTCTTTTTTGTAGAGTGTCATTGGATCGTTTGGATAGATGCCCAGCAATGAGATTGCTGGATCACATGGTAGATTCACTTGTATCGCTTTAAGGTATCTCCATATTGCTTTCCACAGAGGTTGAACTAATTTGCAGTCCCACCAGCAGTGTAGGATATAGAATTTTTTATTTCCATCTTGATTTTTCATTTATGAAGTAATCATTAGTAGGAGGTTGTTAATTTCCACGTTTTGTGTAGAAATGTGAGTTTCGTTAGGTTGATTTTTACTTTTATTCTACTGTGATCTGAGAAAATACATGGTATGATTTCTGTTTTTTTAAATTTCTTGAGGTTTACTTGTGTCCTAGGATATGTCAATCTTAGAGAGTCCCGTGAGCTGATGAGAAGAACGTATAGTCAGTGGATTTTGGGTAGAATGTTCTGAAAATGTCAGTCAGACCCAATTGTTCTAGAGTTTTGTTTAAGTCCATTATTTCTTTATTAATTTTCTGTTTGGAGGATCTGTCTTGTGCCATCAGTGGGGTGTTGAAATCTCCGGTGATTATGGAGTTGCTGTTAATCCACTTGCTTAGGTCCAGTAAAGTTTGCTTTATGAATCTGGGTCATATATAGTTGGGTGCAATATATTAAAATTGTTGCGGCGTGGTGGCTCACGCCTGTAATCCTAGCACTTTGGGAGGCCGAGGCGGGTGGATTGCTCAAGGTCAGAAGTTCGAACCAGCCTGAGCGAGACCCCCGTCTCTACCAAAAATAGAAATAAATTAATTGACCAACTAAAAATATATATACAAAATTAGCCGGGCATGGTGCGCATGCCTGTAGTCCCAGCTACTCGGAGGCTGAGGCAGGAGGATCGCTGAGCCCCGGAGATTGAGGTTGCTGTGAGCCAGGCTGACCGCCACGGCACTCACTCTAAGCCTGGCAACAGTGAGACTCTGTCTCAAAAAAAAAAAAAAAAAAAACAAAAACAACAATAAAATGTTATCTCTCTTGTTGAAGTGTGCCCTTCCACATTATATAATGACCCTCTTGTTTTTCACTACTTTGTGTGGTTTAAAACTAAATCGTCTGAAATTAGAACTGCACACCAGCCTTCTTTGGCTTCCACTTGCTTGGAATACTGATCTCCACCCTTTACTTTTAGTCTATATGCATCCTTGCAGGTTAGATGTTTTCCTGAAGACAGCATATACTTGGCCTGTATTTTCTTATCTATTCAGCCAGCCTTTGTCTCTTTGAGAGTGAGTTTAAGCCATTCACATTTATTGAGAGACTGATAGGTAAGGTATATTACCTGTTCATTCTGTTGGATGTTGTTTGATTTTCTCTTGAGCCATTGTATTATCTGGCTTTAATCTTTGGGTTTTGGTTTGTTTTATATTCGTGAGTGTTTATTATGGTGTTCCTTGTGTAACACTGTTATGAGTACTTCTTGCAGGGCTGGTCTTGTCTTGGTGAATTCTCTGAGACTTTCCTTGTCTGAGAATGTCTTTATTTCTCTTCATATATGAGCTTAGTTTTGCAGGGAATAAATTCTAGGGTGGCATTGTTTGTTTCAGAAGAGTGAGAATGGGGCCCCAGTCTCTCCTTGCTTGTAAAGTCTCATTAGACAAGTCTGGTGTTATTCGAATTGGCTTCCCTTGTATGTCACTTGCTCTTTCACTTACAGCTCTTAGAAGGGCCTCTTTAGTTGATATTTTGGTCAGTCTGATGACTGCATGTTGTGATGTCTTCCTGTTTGCATTGAATCTCCCCGGGTTCCTCTGAGCTTCTTGAGCTTGTATATCGAGATTTTGAGCAAGGCCTGGGAATTTTCCTCTATTATATCTTCAAATAGCTTGTCCAACCCTGAGTGTTGTCCTTTCCCCTTCTGGTAACCCTATGACCCTCACATTAGGTTCTTTCACATAATCCCACATCCTTGTAGGCTTGCTCTTTTTCTTGTTTCTCTGCTCTATCTCTGTGATGGTTTTATTTAGTTGGAGGGTGTTATCTTCAATCTCTGAGATTCTTCTTCTGTTGATTACCCTGTTCTTGAGACTTCACTGTATTTGTAGTTCCCTGAATTGTTCTTCATTTCCAGGAGTTCGATTAACTTTTCTTCATTGTGTCTATTTCTTAGTGAACTTTTTTCAGGTCCTGGAGGCTTTGGTGGTTTCTTGTGTTGGTTATTGAGTTGTTGTGCAGGGCGGTGAGTGTTCTTATGATCCACATATGAAATTCCTCTTCTGTCATTTTGGTTGCCTGATTTGGGTTGGTGTCCATTTCTAGGGGGCTGGTGCTCCTCTTTGGGGTGTGTTTTCCGTTTGGTTCTTCATATTTCGTGAGTTCCTTCGCTGATTTTTTTCCCATGTCGATCAGTTGCTATTTCTTTCCTTTAGGTTTTTTGTTGGGTATTCACACGCTGTTTAGTTTCTGCGCGTATGTGGTGTCTGTGGGTGAGATTCGTCCACTCCCTGTATAATGAGTCAGTGGGTGCCGTGAAAAGGCTGTGCAGGATGCCGTCCCTGTCAGTAGGTGGCGCTTGCTTGGAGGAACAGGCTATGCTGTTGTTTTTGTGTCCTGTTATCACCTCTTGTTCTGGGCAGAGCTGGGTTGGGTAAGCCTGCCCTCAGACACCACCAATGCAATTAGCAGGGGTCAAAGTTCTGTTCTCTGCTTCCAGGAAAAGCTGTCAGGGAGGGGCTGGAATGGTCCCGCTCAGCCAGAAAGTCTGCTTGTGGGGTGGGGCTGTCTGAGACCCGCAGTCTGGAGCAGGCCTTGCTTCTTTCCACCCTCCCCAACTCTGCAGCTACTCCTGGGCCTCTGCCAGCAGGCCAGACCACACGCCACCAGGCCTCCCCGGATTGATGCCGGCAGGGAGGTTCCCTGCCCAGGAACGCCACCTGGGCGGGGCGCGCGGCCTCCCTTTGGGGGGAGGGTTGCCCTCTAGATGCTGATCTGCCCCTGGAGGCACACACACCTCAGCAGGCTGTTCACAAATATCCCTTCTGTGCCCCGGACAATGCTAGACCTCGGTGCACGGGATCTGGTCTGCAGGTCCAATCTCTGGGTCCCAGAGTTCAAACTGTATCCCCACCAGGGAGAGGAGTTCCGGTCCCAATTCACCCACAGGGAGCCCAAGCTGTGTCTGTGTCTCTCAGCCTCTGAGTCGGCACCATTCTCCTGGGAACACCGTGCCAGCAGCACCGGGGAGGGCTGGCGGCTAGGGAGCTCCCAGTCTGAGTTCCCCTTAGTCAGCTGTAGGGTCCCAGAAGGGAAGGTCCCGTTCCCTGGAGGTGCCTCCGGCTGGTGGCTATATTGTCTCTCTGGGCAGCCGCGGGTAGGGTCGTCGGAGGGGAGGAGGAGGCAATATGGCGCCTGCCGTGCGGCTCAGGTCTGTGCACACGGAGGTGCCCCGAGGGATTTGGGAGTCTGGTGCCGGGTCTGCTACAGGCTCACCGCTAGCTAGCAGCGACTGTCTCTGGGCTGGTGTCCGCAGGTCTCTCCACCTGCTGGGGAGCCCACCAGCAGTCCCAAATGCAAGGGAGAGGAAAGGTGATTTATCCACCTACCCTTCCCGCTGGTCTCCGGGCTGCTCCGGTGGTCTCAGCTTCCAGTTCTCCTCCGCAGCCTCCTCCCGTGGAGTCTCCCGGGGTCTCAGGTAACTCTCCTTCCGGCCCTCGTCTGCTGTATGTTTGCCTTCTTGCTTCTTTTTTCTAATTTCTGCTAGAATCTGTCTTTTCTGCGGAGACACTCTTTCTGGCGGTGTTTCTCGTCCGCCATCTTGATCCTCCCTCTATTCCCTCCTTTTTAAGCTAATAGACCTTTCTAAAGAAAATTTGGCATTAAAGAGCCTTAATGATATGACCTCTTAAAATCAGGGATTTGAGGACCCTCTCAAAAGATGATACAAAAGACTAGGGGAACAGAATAGCATGGAAATCATATTCTGCTTTGCTCGTGTCAGTAATGTTAGTAGTGTGGAAAAAATTATGAACAGAAGGCCAGGGATAAGAGCAATAAAGAGACTAGAGGAAAATCAATTATTTTAAGTTGATATTTTTAGTATTTTAAGTGGAGATAGCATGTAATGAGTAGTTACATGACCATTATATTTAATAATAGCCTTAAGCATGTTATTTTTAAGCATTATAGTATTTAATGAATGGATTTCATAAACATAAGCCTTTTGTGTTACTGCATGAAAAATAAGTTACACTTACTGATAATTCCTTCTGTTTTGTCATTTTCTTAAGAAAGATTACAATACCTATGTTGAATTTGGAGAAACAGTTTTGAAGTATTTCTGGGGGAGTAGTGGTCTTACAACCTGTATTGGGAAACAATTAGACCAGGTTGTGGGCTACATTGTTAACTGGGTATTAAAAATTCTAGGATGAAGAAATTAACCAGCAGAGTCAACTAGTAGAAAAACTGAAGACACAAATGTTGGATCAGGAAGAGGTGAGTTAAATAGCTGTCATAGTGCTTCCAGAGAAGCTTTATAGTTTATTATTATGATTTAAACATAAAAGATGAAGGAATCTGTACCGCTGAGAATATACTAATGCTTATATTTTAAAATTTTTTTAATATCTTCATGCTTTATTGTGAATATCCTATGAAATCTATACCTCATTATGGATTGAAGCGAAGATTGTTTCTTTTTTTATTTTTTTGAGACAGGATCTCTGTCATTTATGCTAGAATGCAGTGGTGCTATCGTAGCTCACTGCAGCCTTGAACTCCTGAACTCAGGCCTGCCTCAGTCAGGACTACTACGGGTGTCATGCACCACCATGCCTGGCCCCTTTTTTTTTTTTTTAAGAGATGAGGTCTCACTATGTTGCCCAGGCTGGTCTTAAACCTGGCCTCAGATGATCCTCCTATGTTGGCCTCCCAAAGTGCTGGGATTATAGGTGTGAGCCACCATGCCTGGCCCAGATTGTTTCTTTTTGAAGTTTGAGTTCCTTCTAATCCAAAGGGGAGAAAAACTTTTAATTTTTATTTACTTACTTCAAAGTATAATGCTGTATATCACCTTATTTTCCCCTGAACATTTTTTATTGATCTGTGGGCTGAAGCAATCTTAGATTCTCCCTCCCTCAATGAAAAGTATTTACATATGGATATGAGGGAAGAAATATAAAAACATAAAATTTTGTGTTTGCTTAAACCCAAGATGTAGGTCTAAAGGATTATAAAGAAAGGAAGTATTGGTTTCTAAATCCCATTGACTTTGTCTTTTGTAGTTGTATAATTTCAGGTATGACTTTTTATGGGAATGATAATTTCTTCTTAGTTCTTCCACATTTGTCTTCTTGTCACCTACTTTGGACCCTTATTTTTATCTCCCTGGGCACAGCATGGGGATAATTAGTCCTTTATTTAAGGTTTTTGGTGGGGTGGGGAAGTGGAGACAAAGACTGTAAAGCTTTAATAGGTAAGAGTTACTATCAGTGAAATTAATCCTGGTAAGATCATCTTTATACTTATGTCAGCAATAGCATTGTTTTTCAGAGGGGCACCATTGACATTTTGGGTTTAATAATTATGTTCTGTCCTGTGCATTACAGAACCTTTTGCATCCCTGGCCCCTACTTCTAAATGGTGTTAGCATCCCACCCCATTTATAGCACTCACACCCATTTCCAAATATCTCTACTGAAGAGACACTGACCTGTATGATTGTAGTATGCTCCTACTTAGTCTCTTAGTCTCTTGGCTTCCCTCCGGTTTGAACCAAGAACCGGGAAAGACTTTGCTTTTTTTGTTTTTTGAAGACAGAGTCTCACTCTCTCCCCAGCTAGAGTACAGTGACATCATCATAGCTCACTGTAACCTCAAACTCCTGGGCTCCACCAGTCCTCCTGCCTCAGCCTACCAAGTAGATACAGGTGTGCACCACCACACCCAGCTAATTTTTCTATTTTTGTGTACAGACAGGGTCCCAATCTTGCTACAGCTGATCTCAAACTCCTGGCCTCCCCCCACCTTGGCATGTAGTTCAGATTTTGTTTTTCTGAGGCATAGCACAGATGCCATTACTTCTTGCCCATAGCACATCTAAACTTTTAAGCAACTCTTCTACACATCTAATTTCTTGGTTCTATATATATATATACCATTCATGGGCCTAGAATGCCATTTTCTTCTATTACATTAGTTCGCACATGACTAAAATCTATCTGGACCAATTTCTCCATGAATATTCTCCAGAAATATCTTCCTTTCTTATACTACTAAGCACTTTGTCTTGTCCTTCTTTTGTGGCTCTTACATTCCATCTTGTATTGCACTTATTTGTGTACCATTCTTCTCTTTGACTTGGATTCCTCAAAGATAACGTCTTAACTGGGCACGGTGCCTCACACCTGTAATCCTAGCATTCTGGGATGCCAAGGTGGGGGGATCACATGAGGTCAGGAGTTTGAGATCAGCCGGAGCAAGATTGGGACCCTGTCTGTACACAAAAATAGAAAAATTAGCCAGGTGTGGTGGTGCACACCTATATCTACTTGGTAGGCTGAGGCAGGAGGACTGGTGGAGCCCAGGAGTTTGAGGTTGTAGTGAGCTATGATGATGTCACTGTACTCTAGCTGGGGAGAGAGTGAGACTCTGTCTTTAAAAAAAAAAAAAAGCAAAGTCTTTGACTTCGTTATTGTCTTTCAGCATCCAGCACTGTGTCTGCATATAGTAGGCATTGAATAAATGTTGCCACACTTAATGGTATCCACATTTCACTCTCTTTGTGCTTAGCTAATGGTGAAACTTCATTGATGGTTTTTAAAAACCTGTATACTGGCCGGGCGCGGTGGCTCACGCCTGTAATCCTAGCACTTTGGGAGGCCGAGGCGGGCGGATTGCTCGAGGTCTGGAGTTCGAAACCAGCCTGAGCGAGACCCTGTCTCTACCAAAAATAGAAATAAATTAATTGACCAACTAAAAATATATATACAAAAAATGAGCTGGGCATGGTGGCGTATGCCTGTAGTCCCAGCTACTCGGGAGGCTGAGGCAATAGGATCGCTGAGCCCCGGAGACTGAGGTTGCTGTGAGCCAGGCTGACGCCACGGCACTCACTCTAGCCTGGGCAACAAAGTGAGAAAAAAAAAAAAAAAGAAAAAGAAAAAATAAAAACCTGTATACTTTTGGCCAGGCGCGGTGGCTCACACCTGTAATCCTAGCACTCTGGGAGGCCGAGGCAGGCAGGTCCCTCAAGGTCAGGAGTTCAGAACCAGCAAGAGCAAGACCCCATCTCTACTAAAAAATAGAAATTAATTGGCCAACTAAAAATATATAGAAAAAATTAGCCAGGCACGGTGGCGCATGCCTATAGTACTAGCTACTCAGGAGGCTGAGGCAGAAGGATCACTTGAGCCCAGGAGTTTGAGGTTACTATGAGCTAGGCTGACGCCACAGCACTCTAGCCCGGGCAGCAGAGTGAGATTCTGTCTCAAAAAAAAAAAAAAAAAACACCTGTATACTTTTGATGAAAATAAATATTTTACTCTTTTTTACAGCTTCTGGCATCTACCAGAAGGGATCAAGACAATATGCAAGCTGAGCTGAATCGCCTTCAAGCAGAAAATGATGCCTCTAAAGAGGAAGTTAAAGAAGTTTTACAGGCTTTAGAGGAACTTGCTGTCAATTATGACCAGAAGTCTCAGGAAGTTGAAGACAAAACTAAGGAGTATGAATTGCTTAGTGATGAACTGAATCAGAAATCGGTAGGATATAGTTTTGTTTTCTTTCTTAATACTTAAGTACAGATATTCTTTTTTTTTTTAGACAGAGTGTCACTCTGTTGCCCGGGCTAGAGTGCCGTGGTGTCAGCCTAGCTCACAGCAACCTCAAACTCCTGGGCTCAAGTGATCCTTCTGCCTCAGCCTCCCGAGTAGCTGGGACTACAGGCATGCACCATCATGCCCAGCTAATTTTTTCTATATATTTTTAGTTGGCCAATTAATTTCTTTCTATTTTTAGTAGAGACAGGGTCTGACTCTTGCTCAGGCTGGTTTCTAACTCCTGACCTTGAGGGATCCACCCGCCTCGGCCTCCTGGAGTGCTAGGGTTACAGGCGTAAGCCACCATGCCCGGCCCACAAGTATCCTTAATTTAAAAATTACTTGTTACTTTTTTCTGTATAAGCCCAAGATTGATAGTACTAATTCTCCAAAGTCTAGGGTCTCAATTTTCATTCCTTCTGTATATGAGGCCTTAGAGGTTGTAGAAGACAAGTTATCTTTTTAGTTCCTAAAGGTCTGTTAATTATCTAATTTTAAATGCTATTTTAAAAGATGTTGCCATTCATTCCTGATGTTAAAGGGAAAAAAATTAAGTTACCTTTAGTTGCTCAGTAAAGCTGAGTTGGATCATCTCTAGTTTAGATGATTTTTCAAACTATAATAAACATGAGCCTAAAAATAAAAATGTTGTTTGATCAACTACATGAATTATTTGGAGTAGCCATGAGGATGTATAACTTTATATAATTTGTGTTTTGTTTACTGTTTATTCCCACTACCTTGAACAGTGCCTTCCTGGCAAAATGCAGTAGGGTCTTCCTTGTGGTTCCCCAGTAGATGAGGATTTTTACTTTTTATCCTTATTGTATGACAGGGATTGTAAACCAACAGTGATGCCAGAGATAGTATAGACCTATGATTGTTTCAGCACCATCATGAATGAGCTATCTTCTTGTGGTTTTGTTGTTAATGCTAGCTTCTTGTTTAGAGATCAGTACCTAGACTTGCACTCAGGATCTGTGCCCACCACTTAATTTCCCTATCCATGCTCACTTATATAAAGGAAAGCAGTCAACAGTATGAAATAGCACTTATAAAAGATTTACTGTACCTAATGAGTTCATTTCCCCCTTTTAATCTACAAAGATACAGTTAACTTAAAATTAAAATTTAATACCCTGGAGATCCAAGACACTGTTATAACTCTTACTGAGTTGCATTATTAGCAAACCTAATTGCTGCTTGGAAAAGCAACAAGAGTTTCTTACAACTCTGTGAGTTGGTCCTTGGCCACTGATGTTTTTTTTGTTTGTTTTTTGTTTTTTTTTTTTTTTGAGACAGATTCTCACTGTGTCGCCCAGGCTAGAGTGGCAATGGTGTCATCGTAGCTCACTGCAACCTCAAACTTCTGGCTGGGATCCTCCTGCCTCAGCCTCCTGAGTAGCTGGGACTACAGGTGCATGCCACCACACCCGGCTAATTTTTCTATTTTTTATAGAGACAGGGTCTCACTGTTGCTCAGGCTGGTCTTGAACTCCTGAGCTCAAGCGATCCTCCCGCTTTGGCCTCCCAAGTGCTGGGATTATAGGTGTGAACCACTTTGCCCAGCTGATTTCAGTCTTTAAGGTAGTTAACATTTGTTGTTTCATTGGAGCTGAAATCTGTCAGCACTACATTGGTAAGAGGAGTTAGAAACCCCTAGTGTTTAGCATCTTTTTATATGCTTAAACAGCATTGCTCTTCATTTCTTAGAGAAAATGTATGGTAATTTAAATATTTATGGTAGAAGGATGCTACATAATTAGACTTGCAAGATGATTGGTGAACATATACTCTACTGATACTCAGAACCTTAAAGAAATGACCAACCACCAGAAGAAAGAGTAGTTGAATGATGGCACCTTTACTAAAAAGATAATGACTAAAAGTCAGTAAGTTGCATTAAAAATTCATTACAGGTTGAGTATTCCTTATATTCAACCTCTGGTCCCAAGCATTTCAGATTTTAGAGTATTTGCATTATAATTAATGGTTGAGTCTTTCTAATCTGAAATGCTTCAGTGAGCATTTTCTTTGAGCATCATGTAAGCACTCACAAAGTTCCAGATTTTGGAGCATTTTGGATTAGGGATACTCAACCTGTGTCTGATCCATGATATAGTGAATAATTTTTAAAGTGTCCAGATTAGGTTGGACTTTTCAAAATTTGGTGACTTTATAACTAGTAAACCAGCTGTCATTTTAAATTTATAATTGTAGTAATTAAACCCAAATAGTAATATTACTTTTATCATTGGCTCCTGGATAATTGCTTATATCATAATATGAAAAATAGTGATAATTATCATCAGGTAGATTTTTCAGTAAGCATATAGAAAGTAGACGAAGAAAACATGTAACCATCTAGAAACTGTCAGTTCCATTCTGACATGAATTACCTCAGATTCAACTTCCAAAGATGTGATAATATAGTAATAAATGATAAATTTAATTAATTTTGAAGTTTCACATTTCTAGGCAGAAACATATTCAAGTCTCAAAAATTTAGTGGAATAATACAAGCTGCCTGCTCTTAATGGAATACAATATGGCTACTTTTACCATAGCCTGTGAGGTCTGAAATATTTTTTAAGTTTGAGCTGGGAGCTAGTCCAGACCTCAGTAGATAATTCAAAAAAATGAAAGCAGAAAATACATGGTTTTGTATGGGCTAGGTAAAAAACTTGAAATGCATATGAATATTTGAATTGAGTTTTTATTTAGTAGATTTAACTATATGCTTTTTGTTTTGGGTTATGTTAGGCAACTTTAGCAAGTATAGATGCCGAGCTTCAGAAACTTAAGGAAATGACCAACCACCAGAAAAAGCGAGCAGCTGAGATGATGGCATCTTTACTAAAAGACCTTGCAGAAATAGGAATTGCTGTGGGAAATAATGATGTAAAGGTAAATATAATATTTAGATATTAAATGTAATTGTATGCAACTTGTACTTATGTTTGCTACTTTCTCTCAAAGTTCTTCGTAGCAATTATCTCATCTTCACAACAGCCATGTGTGGTATATGATATTAACTCCATTTTGAATAGATGAAGGGGGAGGGTGAGAATAAGGAGCACCAATATAGACATACTACGTAGCATTTATTGAACCTTTTTTTGATTCTTTACAATGTAAAGATTTCACAGTTAGAAATTATCTTAATAAATTACCATACATGAAAGTATGTGATTATACCAAGAGTCAAGATTAACTCAGCAAGTAAACTCAAATGATTTAGCCTATTGTTGCTTTAAATGTTTAAATAAAGGTAAAAGATGAGCACTACTTAATTCCTTTTTAAATTTTGTATGAGAAATTTCAAACATAAAATAGTAGAGAGAATAATGAACTCCAGAGTTATCAGTTATTAAAATATTGCCACACTTTATGCCCTTTTTCTTATAATAATCTTTTTAAGGACACTAATATTGGTCATTAGGCATATGACCTGGAAGACTTAAAAATTCAGACCAGAATGCAAACTGAAATTCTCAGCTACAAAAACATCACATAACATGAAAGATTTCTATGTTGCATTAGCTATTTGTTTGGACTTTACCTTTTTAATTTAAGCCTAATTTAAGAGAGAAGAAACTTACACTTGAGTTTATAATGAAAGCCTGCTAGGAAGCCCAGTTTAATGAGTTGGAAATGAAATAAAAGTTTTCAATATTGAGTACACATTCCTTCTGTCCAGTGTGTTGTTGAAAGTTGCTGTTTGTTGGTGGAGGCAAGGATTCTTGTTACTCTTCTCATATGTCATTTCCTTATGTTGACTCACCTCATTGAAACAAAGGAAAAGTGTCATTTTTAAGTATCAGGTGACTTGACTTTCTCTCTTACACCATCTGTCTGAACATTATGCCCTATTCTGTTTATTATGGTGAAGTAATGTGAGAGGAGAGCTGTGGGGATCGTCTAGGATGGAAAAGTAGATTTATTTCATATCACTGAACACTAGAAAGGTATTGTTCAAAATTCGCTTTATAGATTTTTCAACCTTTTTTAAGAAAACTCTTTCCCTTTCATTTTCAAATAATCATAATTTAAGTGAAAAGTGGTAAAGATAGAGAAAATAAAGAGTGGAAATGGCTATGGTTAGTGGCAGAGCCAGACATAGAATACAGGTTCCCGGATTCCTAGACTGCTTTTTTAAATAAATCATTATAACATTTTGAAAATAAATCAGCCTTGGAAATAGGTAATTTAAAAAAACAAAAAGATCCTCGGTATTTTTGTCATGTACATGTAATTCTTTTCCTATCATCAGTAAGCACTATTTGAGTTCTACTTGTTTTATAGGTGTATAGATTTTTTTTTTTTTTTTTGAGACAGAATCTCGCTTTGTTGCCCAGGCTAGAGTGAGTGCCATGGCATCAGCCTACCTCACAGCAACCTCACCCTCCTGAGCTCAAGCGATCCTCCTGCCTCAGCCTCCCGAGTAGCTGGGACTACAGGCATGCGCCACCATGCCCGGCTAGTTTTTCTATATATATTAGTTGGCCAATTAATTTCTTTCTATTTATAGTAGAGACGGGGTCTCGCTCTTGCTCAGGCTGGTTTCGAACTCCTAACCTCGAGCAATCCGCCTGCCTCGGCCTCCCAGAGTGCTAGGATTACAGGCGTGAGCCACCGCGCCCGGCCTACATTTTTTTAAATGCACAAATTGTAGATTCACTATTACAGGTATCTTTTAGAATAGTTTCACCACCCTAACATATTCCTTGTACTTTATCTATTTAGCTCTACTCTGTGAACCTCTGGCAGCTACTGTTTTTACAACTCTCTCTGTAGATTCGCTTTTTCCAAACTTTTATATAGTTGGAATCATCCAAATATGTAGCCTTTTTAGACTAGCTTCTTTCACTTAACAATATGCATTTAAGGTTCTTCAATGTCTTTTTGTGGCTTGATAGTTCATTTCTATTATCACTAAATGATATTCTGTTGTATGAATGTGTACCACAATTTATTTTATCCATTCACCTACTTGATTACTTCTAGTTTTTGACAATTTTGAATAAAGCTCTTGTAAACATTCATGTGTAAGTTTTTCAGTGGACATAACTTTTCAATTCAGTTGGGTAAAATACCTAGGAGTGTGATTGCTAGATCATACGTTAAGACTATGTTAGCTTTGTGAGAGCCTGTCAAGCTGTCTTCCAAAGTAGCAGAAGCATTTTGCATTCCTATCAGCCTGAATGAGAGTTCTTGTTGCTCTACGTCCTTGTCAGAATTTATTGTTGTCAGTTTTTTATTTTAGCAGTTCTAATGTAGAGTGTTATATTAAATTTGTATTTGGGTTATTTTCTCCTTGTTAAGTTTTGAGAATTCTTTATGTGTTTTGGATGTAAGTCCTTTATCAGGTAATGTCTTGCAATATTTTTCCCAGTCTGTAGCTTGCTTATCTTTTTATTCTCTTAACAGGATCTTTTGCAAGGCAGAAATTTTGAATTTTAATGAGATCTGCCTTGCCAGTTTTTTCATTCATGGATTGTGTTTTTGGTATTGTATTTTAAAACTCATCACCAAACCCAAAGTCACTTAGATTTTATCCTATGTTATCTTCTAAAATTTTTTTAGTTTTGCATTTATGTTTGGGTCTGCGATTCATTTTAGAGTTAATGTTTCTGAAAGGTGTATGGTCTTTGTCAGGATTCATTGTTCTGCATGTGGTTGTCCAGTTTTTACAGCACCATTTCTTGAAAAGACTATCCTTTCTCTATTCAGTTGCCTTTGTCCCTAGATCTATTACTGAGCTCTCTGTTCTGTTGACTTATTTGTCTATTCTTTTCCAATACTATACAGTCTTGATTACTGTGGCTTTATAATAAGTCTTAAAGTTGTATAGTGTCAGTCCTACGACTTTGTTCTTCTTTAGTATTGTGTTGGCTATTCAGGGTCTTTTGCCTCTGTATAAACTTTAGAATCAGTTTATTGATATCCACAAAATAAGTTGCTGCTACCTTGATTGGGATTATATTCTTTCATTAGTGTTTTGGCGTTTCCTCTTATAGAACGTGTACATATTATGTTAGATTATAAATATATATATATATATATTTTTTTGGTGCTAATATAAGTGGCACTGTGTTTTTTTGGATTTTTTGTGGGGTTTTTTTTTTTTTTTTTTTGAGACAGGGTCTTGCTCTGTTGCCCAGGTTGGAGTGCAGTGGCACGATCATAACTCACTGCAGCCTTAAACTCCCGGACTCAAGTGATCCTCCCACCTCAGCCCCACAAAGTGCTGGGATTACAAGCGTGAGCCACCATGTTGGCTGGCACTGTGTTTTTAATTTTGAATTCCAGTTGTTCGTTGTTGGTATGTAGGAAGTGGTTGACTTTACTGAAGAGGTCTTGTAAGGAGGAAATAATGAATTTACTGAAGAGATCTTGTAAGGAGGAAATATAAAAATTGAAAGAGGCAGAATTCATCAGTTTGGGTTTTTTTTTCTCTTCTTTTAAATTTTTTTTTATCTTTTTTCTTTATTTTTTTTTCATCCTCTAGCCCAGTTAACATCAGTTTGTTTTTATTTTTTTAGGTATACATTTATTTTCCTTGTAGGCATATATTAACATTATGTTTTTAAAAGTAAGCTCTGTTTGTTTACCCGTTATTGAAAAGAGTAATGAAAGAAAAAATAAATTCCAGACTTCCTATGGACTTTGAGTCATATTACAATATATTTTATTTTGTTATAAGATTTTAAAGTCTAGATGGAAGACACTCTGAACATGTTGGGCTTTAATTTTTTATTTTACTTTTTTCTCGCAGCAACCTGAGGGAACTGGCATGATAGATGAAGAGTTCACTGTTGCAAGGCTCTACATTAGCAAAATGAAGTCAGAAGTAAAAACAATGGTGAAACGTTGCAAACAGTTAGAAAGTACACAAACTGAGAGCAACCAAAAAATGGAAGAAAATGAAAAGGAGTTAGCAGCGTGTCAGCTTCGTATCTCTCAAGTATGTTACATTACAAATTTTCTTCGTGTTTTCAACCATCCACATATAAATTTTATTTATTATAAAAGTTTTCATAAAAATGAGCTTCTGTATGTTATTTTGAGTAACAAAATAAAAAGGCTAATTTAGTTGCCTTTCCTTATCTAGCTACAATATAATAACTTGGATGATTTAACTGGGTTATATATAGAAATTTACTAGAAAGATGTGACTGATGCTGCCTATTGAAGATTCTAGAAGAATTCCAGTATGGGCAGAACTGCAAGGGACCAGTTTTCTGGCTTTCACAAATGAACTAATGGGGCCATTCATCAAAATAGGAATTTCACAGGGAGGGGGAGGGTTACGTTGGTTGAAGATAACTATAAGAATATTATTTCATATTTCAGTCTTCAGTGCCTTAGTTTGCAAGTGGTATAAGCTATACAGATGGCCATTTAATTTATTAAATTCTTTAACATTTTAAATCTGGTTCCTGAACATTTTAGGTTTAAGTATCTTCAAGTTATCATATAGTCAGATATATCAATAAATATTCTTAACACAATATGTGCATGAGATTTTTTTTCCATTTCATATCAGTATATTTTTTCCAAAAGCATGAAGCCAAAATCAAGTCACTGACTGAATACCTTCAGAATGTGGAACAAAAGAAAAGACAGCTGGAAGAATCTGTCGATTCCCTCAGTGAAGAACTAGTCCAGCTTCGAGCACAAGGTATTAGCTTCCAACTATTTACGAGTTATGCATTAATTCCTTCTTTTAATGTGTAATTGTAATAAGCTTACGTTCACACTGATGGAGAATAGTAGGAATGTGTATAACTTGGAATGGTAAGCAAATCATACATTTTAATGTTGCTTTAGAACATATTGTTTAAGATTGTGTTTGAATGTGAAAATGGCCAATCTGGAAATTTCCCACAGTTAGGAAGGGGGCTGTGTGTGTAAATCTTAACACGGGATTTAGAAGCTACCTCGTTTCCCTACCATGCCCCTTATCCCATATGTTCTGGGATTAGGCAAAGAAAATACATAAAAGAATCCATAATATTGACACAAGGGATATGACTAAGTGTGCTAGTCACCATGTCATTGAGCTAAGAGAGCAAGATTTACTTTTTGACATTTGGATAAATTTAAAGTCAAGTAGTACTAAGGACCATACTTCATAAAATCCTTTTGCTCGTTGGTTTATGTGAGGAAACTTAAGACTTATTTCACTCTTCTGTTTTCTCTCCTTACCCAAACAGAGAAAGTACATGAAATGGAAAAGGAACACTTAAATAAGGTTCAGACTGCAAATGAAGTTAAGGCAAGTATGATGTTGCATTGGACTCTAATGACTTTAGTCCATTATTATTAATTTTTATTAGTCTGGCTTTAATATCCCTTTTCTCTTCAAAATTTTAGCAAGCTGTTGAACAACAGATCCAGAGCCACAGAGAAACTCATCAAAAACAAATCAGTAGTTTGCGAGATGAAGTAGAGGCAAAAGAAAAACTTATTACTGATCTTCAAGAGTAAGTATTATACTTTTCTTTTAGATATTAGAAACTGAGAAAGATGGACTATTTAGACAGTAGGAAATAATAGGTTGCTGATGGACAGTATGTCCTTATGAGAAACCTGTAGTTTTCATTGAAATTACAATTTTTGACTTGGAAATAAAGAATTTTCTCATTTATGAATAAAACTTAGGAGTTCATGTCAAATAATTGAAAAATTTTCTGAGTTCTTTTAACCTAAATATTCACTGAAAAGAAAAAAAAGAACTTATTGTTATAAGTAGATAACATAGTCTCCTCCAGATCATTTACTTTTTTATTTAAAAGTTTCTTAACTGAGAAAAATTTTATTCAAAATTGTGGGTTTTAAAAGTTTTTTTTCCAATGGAAGTTGTCACGTTAATTTATCTAGAAGACATTTGCCTTCTGTAATCATGTGCACATACATAGAATTTATAAAAATTGGAGCCTGTGACAATTTGAGTAGGAACCAGAGGAGAGTATCAAAACAACAAAAATGATGAAGTTTGGGTCATGGGTCTTATTACTACCTAATAGAAGGAGGGGTAAGGATTCAGGAAGGTAAAAGACATAGCAGAATAAAATCATGATTTCAAACCAAAATATGAAAAATACTGTATGGCTGAAAGTAATCAGGCCCCCTCCCAGTCTTCTCCCATGGGGGACAAGAAAACAAAGGAGGCCTTGGTGTTTGAAAAATGAGATTATAGATTTTAAGAGTTTGAAGCATTTTAACTACAAAATTCAGAAAGCTATGATGTTGATAATGTATTATGATTTTTTTCTTTCAGCCAAAACCAGAAAATGATGTTAGAGCAGGAACGTCTAAGAGTAGAACATGAGAAGTTGAAAGCTACAGATCAGGAAAAGAGTAGAAAACTACATGAACTTACGTGAGTAATTGTTGTGCTTAAAGTTTAAAAATAAAAACTAAATTAGAGGATTGTAAGCATTAGCCTTGGATATATCCAGTAGGTACATTTTAACTTCGTATGGACTAAAACAGCAGTCCCTAACCTTTTTGGCAGCACGGATGGGTTACATGGAAGACAGCTTTCCCACTGACTGAGAGTGGGGCTCCTGCGGTGATGCACACGGTCGGGAGCAGCTGTATAGATGAAACTTCACTCACTTGCCTGCTGCTCCCCTGCTGTCTGGACCCCTAGTCCCCATGTTTCATGAAAGACAATTTTTCCACAGATAGGGGTAGGGAGCTCTGCAGCCTGGTCCCTAACAGGCTGAGACTAGTACCAGGGTTTGGGGACTTCAGGGCTAAAGGGTGTTTTTCTTAAATCCTCTGGGTTTGATTTGTATCTAAATACTTGCAATATATGCTTCTATTTTAGTGAAAGCAAGGTCTTATATTTCATTGGTTGTCAAGATTTAAATTCCTATCTTGGCAGCCTACTTGGTGTTTTGCCATATTCCTTTGGGATCCATCATAAAAATCAGCCTAAAATATGACATTAGTAATTTAGAAGATTTTCAGGATTTATCACAAAAACTGAATTTTTGTCAAATTTGATCTTGTATAAAAAGAACATTATTGTTTTAGCCTTGCCTTTTGAACATAGGTTTTCACTGTTTACTCATTCTCATTTACTGAGTCAGTACTTGGTTTTCTAGAATCTGAGCAGATAGAATACTCATGATTATAATTTTTCATATCCCTTGAATTTGTGAGACAGTTTGTAAATGATTTGCTATTATTGGGATAGTTAGACCAGCAGGACCAGTTTAGAATTGATGTTATAAGGATTATGCTGAATTGCAGTTATAATTTTATATAGAATGATTTTAATGTAAAATATTTTCATCTTTGACAATTTATAATCTCTATAATTCCCAGTTAATCAGTATCATTTCGCCAGGTATGGTGGCTCACACCTGTAATCCTAGCACTTTGGGAGGCCGAGGCGAGAAGATTGCTTGAGGTCAGGAGTTGAAGGCCAGCCTGAGCAAGAGTGAGACCCTGTCTCTACTAAAAATAGAAAAATTAGCTGGGCATGGTGGTGTGTGCCTGTAGTCTCAGCTACTCAGGATGCTGAGGCAAGAGGATCACCTGAACCCAGGACTTTGAGGTTGCTGTGAGCTAGGTTGACACCACAGCACGTTAGCCCAGATGACAGAATAAGACTCCATCTCAAAACAAACAAACAAAAAGAACTCAGTATCGTTTTGGATAAATAGCAATAGATACTATATGTGGCATTTTTAAATATATAAATTAGAACCATGTCTTAATGTTTGAATTGTGCCACATTTTATTTCATCTCTTCCTATAAAATGGAGATTTTTTTGGTAATAAACTAGATTTAGAAGGAGATTACAGGGCATAAAAATTTCTTGAAAGGCAATACAGGTAAACTATTTAAAAATAAGCATCTTTCATGTATTTAAATTATTGATCCTTTCAGCTAAAGTATTCAACTCTTATGCTAAATAAAACTAGAATTTTATGGAATCAAAGTTGAAAATATACATATATATTCTTCCATTGATAGGGTCATGCAAGATAGACGAGAACAAGCAAGACAAGACTTGAAGGGTTTGGAAGAGACAGTGGTAAGAAAAACATGAAAATAAATAGGATGGGGGAATATTTTGTGGGTTTCTTTCACTTGTCCTAAATTTGAAGTCTGAATGCCAAAAATATTGCTGTTCTTAATTCAAGGCAAAAGAACTTCAGACTTTACATAACTTGCGCAAGCTCTTTGTTCAGGACCTGGCTACCAGAGTTAAAAAGGTAATGTAACTATACTAAAGGGTGGGTATTTGTATAAATGGCACATACTGCCTGTAATTCTATGTTTTCATAAATGAAATAATTTTACATTGTCATGTCAATTTTTGTATAGTCAAGCTTAGATCTTTTTTGATCTTCAAATTTTTTTATAGTATTCATCAACCTTCTTTTATCAGAGTGCCGAGATTGATTCTGATGATACTGGAGGCAGTGCTGCTCAGAAGCAAAAAATCTCCTTTCTGGAAAATAATCTTGAACAACTCACTAAAGTGCACAAACAGGTAATAAAGAATATATTTTGTGATAGCTGCAACATTGTAAGAATCAAAAATTGAGTGGTAAGTATTTTAATCTTTTAGAGTTCTAAGGAATTTTTATACCTGAATCTATTTCACTATTTTATCAAGCAATTATATACAAATACCACCAGTAACTTTTAGAGGAGTTAATATTTTTAACAACCTTATTATCCAAAAGAGCAATAAAAACATGCATTCTTATTTTCTCTTTAGGGTTTCAAGAGCATCCATTTTCTTGATTTATTCATAGTAATTTTTAAATCTCTGGCAGACAAGTCTTTGCAGTTAAAATACAGTCTTTTTTGGGAAGTCCTTTTACACTTAATGCCCAGTGTATAAAATACATGATGAGGCATTTCAGTTTTTCTTTTAAATAATGCTTACTAGGTTTTTGTTTGTTTGTTTTGTTTCGTTTTGCTTATTCTTTATTACTATTTGTGAATGATTTACGTTACTGATAAACTTTCTTAACACACTTGACTCTTGTATGTCTTTGTTAATGTAAACCCACTGTTTGCACTAGAGTAAGGTTAAAGACATTTTAGCACTTCAGCACTTACTAAGGGGCTTGCTAAGTTTGTTTACTGTGTACTTAGTTTATATGAAGGGATATTCATTCCCTAGATTGGTTATCTGGTCGAAGAAACCTAGGACTATGTTGTAATTTGTTGTCTTTGCCTAGCAGGGGAAAGAACAATCCACCTTAACAAATTAAATTATATCTTTGTAAGAAATATGTGTATGTATGATATGGATGGGTGGGTGTATTTTCAGCATGTTTCTGCCCAAATTAAATTAGCTAAATGAAAAATTTTTGGTAGCAATTCTTTTCTGAAGAGCAGTTATGAAATGTTCAGACTTTCTTAAATCCTCTTGTTAAAGCTAGAATCCTGTTTTCTTTGTGTACCTTTAGTTGGTACGTGATAATGCAGATCTTCGCTGTGAACTTCCTAAATTGGAAAAGCGACTTCGAGCTACAGCCGAGAGAGTGAAAGCTTTGGAGTCAGCACTGAAGGAAGCCAAAGAAAATGCATCTCGTGATCGCAAGCGTTATCAGCAAGAAGTTGATCGCATAAAGGAAGCAGTCAGGTCAAAGAATATGGCCAGAAGAGGGCATTCTGCACAGATTGGTTAGTAGAACACATTAAAACCTGTACTCCTTGCTCAGTTTGAATGCTTTCTTTTAGTTGAAAACATCTGAATTTTATGAGTTGTCAGGGTGTGTCTGTCTCTATTTTCTAACTTACCAAAGAGTGGCCCTGTTGGGAAGGAAAAAAGAAATTGAGAAATAACCACATTAACAGGACAAGAAGATAAATAAGAACTAGAGACATAAACAAGAATGGTCAAGGAGAGGAGAAACTATACAGCCATATTGTTAAAGCAAAGGAAAGAATTGCAAGAAAGTAAGTCATCAGTTATTTCATGTTTCAGAATAATCATTGGTGCAGGAAAAAAGATTTTTAAGAGGCTAAGGATTTTATAGGTCCTGGAAAAAAGGATGTACCTGAAAAGAAAAAGAGAGAAACAAAAGGAAAGAAAAACAAAACATTTGGCTATTTGGGGTGAATAAAGAGAGGAGCCCTAGGCCATCAGTCATTGCAGTCATGTGTTAAGCTCATTCTAAAGTCAGCCTTTGTCTTTCATACTAGCTAAACCTATTCGTCCTGGGCAGCATCCAGCAGCTTCTCCAACTCATCCAAGCGCAATTCGTGGAGGAGGTGCATTCGTTCAGAACAGTCAGCCAGTGGCAGTACGAGGTGGAGGAGGCAAACAAGCGTAAATATTTACATATACACACAGGTTTGTCATTTCCATCTGGATTTTCATAGGTATATGTGGAAGAGTTGAGCTATTGATTCTTACATAGGTTTTTGGACTTTTTTGATTCTCAAATTGGTGTCATAATTTTTTTAAATATAAGTGATTATGAAAGTAACTTAGAGCCAGGCACAGTGGCTCATGCCATAGTGGCTCACACCTATAATCGTAGCACTCTGGGAGGCCAAGATAGGAGAATTGCTTTAGGTTAGGAGTTCAAGACCAGCTTGAGCAAGAGCGAGAGACCCTCATCTCTACAAAATGTAGAAAAATTTGCTGAGCATGGTGGCACGTGCCTCTAGTCCCAGCTATTTGGGAGGCTGAGGCAGGAGGATCACTTGAGCCCAAGAGTTGGAGGTTGCAGTCAACTGTGATGACACCACTGCATTTTAGGGGGAGGGGGACAGTGAGACCTGGTCCCCAAAAAAAAAGTAACTTAACACATGCTTCTAGTGCTTTTTATAGTTAAGATCATCCTATATTACTATAGTAATTTTTATTACATAGTAACTATCTATAGTATTCTGTAATTAACATTCTGTTACTGTTTAATAACAAACATTTTGGATCATTTGTAATAGCTTTTGGTATTCTGTCTAATGGATGGATATACCATGGCTATAGCCATTGCTTTTTACTGGACATTCAATTACATTAATTTTTCCCATATTTGAGATTTCTGTATATGAAATTTGAAATGTGAAACATTTTTATATATCCCTCACCTTTTAGATTTTTTCCAGAAGATTCCCAGAAATGGAAATCCCAAGGAGGTGTGAACATTTTTCAGGCTCTTGCACATGTTACACATTGCTTCTAGAAAGACAGCACCAAATCATATTAGCCAAAGATACTGTTTGTTGCATCTTTGCCAGCATTGAGCATTAATCGATTTTCTGTTTCAATTTAATTGGCCAGAAATAGCATCTTATTCATTATTATTGAAATTGGATTTTTAAATATATTTATTGGCCCATTTATGTTTGGGTTTTTTTAATGAATTATCTCTCTGTATCCTTTTTACCTATTGTGGGTGATTTTTCTAACCGATTTCTGAGTTTATTTGTATTTTAATTATACAAGTAAAATCTCTTCCTTCTATTCTTTTTCTTTTTTGTATGAATCTCTTCCTTCAGGGATAAAAATATCACAAAGTAGGCCAGGCACAGTGGTTCACACACGTTAATCCTAGCACCTCGGGAGGCCAAGACAGGAGGATCACTTGAGCCCAGGAGTGCAAGACCAGCCTGAACAACGTACTGAGACCCTGTCTCAACAACAACAAAAAAATTTTTTTTTAATTAGCCTGGTGTGGTGGCGCACGCCTGTAGTCCCGGCTACAAGAGAGCTGAGATGGGAGGATTGCTTGAGCCTAGCAGTTCGGGTTACAGTGAGCCATGATTGAGATACTGCACTCCAGCCTGGACAACAGAGCGGATCTGATCTTTAAAATAGAATAAATAAACTTAGCAATACATCCTGAACATTTCTTTCTACAACATGATTGATTGATAATAGCTACTTAATGTTTCATCATATTGTGGAAACTCAAATTTTAATGCTTCAGGAAGTCCAAATGTGTAGGTGTTTGAAATGAAAAATGCCAGATAAATATACAATGGTTAACTGTTACTGTTTCTGACAAATACTAAAACCAGTTTATTTTAATCTTCCTTACTTTTACTTTGACAGTTTGTATAACACTGCTTCTAAATTTTTTTTTTTTGAGACAGAGTCTGCTCTGTTGCCCATTCTAGAGTGTTGTGGCGTCAGCCTAGCTCACAGCAACCTCAAACTCCTGGGCTCAGCAATCCTCCTGCCTCAGCCTCCAAGTAGCTGGGACTACAGACATGTGCCTGCCATGCCCAGCTAATTTTTCCTATATATTTTTAGTTGGCCAATTCATTTCTTTCTATTTTTTTAGTAGAGTCGGGGTTTCACTCTTGGTCAGGCTGGTTTTGAACTCCTGACCTTGAGCGATCCGCCTCCCAGAGTGCTAGGATTACAGGCATGAGCCACCATGCCCGGCCTCTGCCTCTAAATTTGAGTAGAGAATTAAATGATATTTTGTAGGATTCACATTTCCAACAATTTAGTATAATACTTTGTTCAGACAGTATAGTAGAAAAAGGCATGGATTTGGAGTTCCATCTAAGTTTAAATCCTGGATTTTCTACTTTACTTTTATGAACTTGAGCAAGTAACTTTTTTAGAGTTATTTCTTTCCATTTGACTCCTTTTTTTTTTTGGAACAGAAGTCTGTCATTGCCAGGTCTAGAGTGCCGTGGTGTCAGTCTAGCTCACAGCAACCTCAAACTCCTGGGCTCAAGCGATCCTCCTGCCTCAGCCTCCCGAGTAGCTGGGACTACAGGCACACACCACCATATCCAGCTAATTTTAATAGAGATGGAGTCTCACTCTTTGCTCAGGCTGGTCTCCAACTCCTTGACCTCAGTGATCATTGTGCATGGTCCTTTTAAAATATTTTTAGCATAAAAATAAATTGTGGGCTCATGACTTAACTATTCAATGAATCTCCAAAACATAACATTTTTCTGTATAGCCACAATATTATCATGCCTGACAAAATAATATTTTTAATATTATTGAATATCAATCTATATTCAGATTCTCTCTTTTTTTTTTTTTTTTTTTTTTTGAGACAGAGTCTTGCTTTGTTGCCTAGGCTAGAGTGAGTGCCGTGGCGTCAGCCTACCTCACAGCAACCTCAAACTCCTGGGCTCAAGCGATCCTTCTGTCTCAGCCTCCCAAGTAGCTAGGACTAACGCATGTGCCAAATGCTGCTAATTTTCTATATATTTTAGTTGGCCAATTAATTTCTTTCTATTTATAGTAGAGACGGGGTCTCGCTCTTGCTCAGGCTGGTTTTGAACTCCCGACCTCGAGCAATCCGCCCGCCTCGGCCTCCCAGAGAGCTAGGATTACAGGCGTGAGCCACTACGCCCGGCCTCTCTATGTTTTTAAATGTCCTGATTTGTGTAAACCAGAGTACAATCGAGTACTGCTGTTTACATTTGTTTTTAATGCAAATCCCTTAAGTCTCTTTTAATCTAGAATAACCCCCCCTTTAACTAACATTGACTTATTAAAGAGACTAGGTCAGTTATCTTGAGTGTATGCCACCCTCTGAATATGTCTGATTGATCGCTTTTATGTGTAGTTGCCTTGTTCTTCTGTTTCTTCTATTCCCTATATTATATATTGAAAAATAAATTAAAAGTTGATTAGAATGAGTATAAACATTTTTGATGAGACTATGTTGGAGGTAATATTTGCTTAATATTGGGTCACATCAGTAGATAATAAGATAGCTGATTTTCCTGGCTATTAGAGATGGCCTCTGTGTTTTTTCTCTTGTGACTAATAACTTTTTGATGCCCCTTTTATTAATAAAATGTAAGTCTTTTTTTTTTTTTTTTTTTTTTTACCAGGGTCTCAACTATATTGCCCAGGCTGGTCTTGAACTGCTAGGCTGGCTCAAACGATCTTCCTCAGTCTCCCAAGTAGCTGGGACTACAGGCATGCACCAGTCACTGGAAATCATTCTTTTTTTTTTTTTTGAGACTGAGTCTCTCACTCTATTGCCCCAGCTAGACTGCTGTGGCGTCAACCTAGCTCACAGCAACCTCAAATTCCTGGGCTTAAGCGATCCTCCTGCCTCAGCCTCCTGAGTAGCTGGGACTACAGGCGACTACATCCCCGGCTAATTTTTTATATTTTTGGTAAAGATGGGGTCTTGCTCTTGCTCAGGCTGGTCTCGAACTCCTGAGCTCAAACGATCCACCCTCCTCGGCCTCCCAGAGTGCTAGGATTATAGACGTCAGTCACTGCACCCGGCCTGGAAATCATTCTTGAGAATTACACAAGTTAAGATGTTACACAGCACACAGTATTATGTAGATGCAAGCTGCCTTTTTATACGTTTCTGGAACTGGGAGCTACGCAAGGGGATTTTCAAAGTATATGTACCCATAAAAGTTTATCCTTTTTTGGATATTTTTCTCATGTTAAAATTTATATGTAAACTTTGAATTCATATCTCATTTGCAGAGAGGATAGACCATGGCCTTTGTTAAATATAGCTGATAGTGACAGTACTTTAGTTTAGTTGTGGAATCTGTCTGTAGTCACAGCTACTCGGGAGGCTGAGGCAGGAGGATCGCTTGAGCCCAGGAGTTTGAGGCTGCTATGAACTAGGCTGATGCCACTGCACTATAGCCCGGGCAACAGAGAGAGACTCTGTCTCAGGAAAAAAAAAGAAAAAAATAGCTGAACCAGCTAAACTAGGTTTTCAGACTTGAAAATTATAATATGAAAGTATAATTATTTACAGGTTTGTTTCATTGCTGGTCCAAAGGATAGCAGGTCTTACTTTTAAAATTCTTCAATCAATCTTAAACCATGATTGGGAAATACAATCTACTTATGTGATAAATTGTCTAAAAGTTAAATTCTTTGCAGGAAATTTTTGTTAAGAAAAACATTTCCAAACACTGGGTTTATTTTTAGAAAGGATTACAATGTGTGAATAATACTGATACCTTTAGTTCCCAGTTCTTCTGGCTTGCATAATAGTTTAACAGGTTGAGTTTTTCTAAATGCATAGGTAAATAGGCAGTTAATACAAGGATGGCTTCAGGTAACAACTATAGGAATTCTTTCACTGTTTTTTTTCCCTATTCTTCCACTGTTTTTCACCTTTACTTTGTAACTACTAATTGCAAGTTGTCCTTGGTTTAAGAATGTTACTGACCAGTCTGCTGGTTAAAAGATTAGCTTTTTTCTTTTTAAACAAATATAATTAATGTATCAGCTCACCCATGGCTTTATTACGGAGAATAAAAACATATTAAGGACTAGCCTCCTTTTTTTTTAAATTAATTAATTAATTTATTTTAGCCTCCTTTAAACACTGTACTTGCTCATAAGTAGTTCTTAGTAGAAGAGGTAAATAAAAGGAGAAGAAATCAAATCATTTCTTTAATTTTGGGGAAAGTGGTCAGAGCTATTAGCTAGAAGGTTTGTAAACTATTGGGATATTTTATTTACTTGTTTCGTTCTTCTTCATAATTATCTCAAGCATGAGTTTTGTAAAACTAAATGTATTCTCTCTTTGTGTTTTCTCCCATTTTCAGGTGTTGAAAAGCACCCAAAGTATGAAGAGGACATGGTATCAAAGAGTCATTCAATGACTAACCTCTACCCCCTTGGGGTTGTAGAATTATAACTTTTTTTTAAATGTATAAATTATACCTGGCCTGTACAGCTGTTCCCGCCCACTCTTCTTGTAAACTCTGCTGCTTCCCAACACAACTAGCATGCAGTTTTGGCATCTTAGGAGGGGAAAATGACAGTTTACAACTGTGGCCCTATTTATTACACAGTTTGTCTTTCTTGTCTTAAATTTAGTCTGTGCCAAGTTAACCATACCTTATAGGAATCTCAGTTTAAATCACTTAGCTGCTACTGCTTCTTCTTTTTCTTTTCCTATTAAAATGTCTTCCCTTTTTTTTTTTTTTTTTTTAGGGTAAGGTAAATGGAACATTTAGGTTAAGTGTCTTAAATTTTGCCACTTATAACACTACATGCCCACAAAATATATCAGGTCAGTACTGTATTTTAAAATCCCTTGAAATGATATCAGGGCTAAAATTATTTGTGTCATTTCTGAAGTTTGCTTCTGAAAACTATTGTTTGAGCACTGAAACCTTACAGCTGCCTAATTAGGCATTTGAGACTGAGCAAGGCTACTTAATTGTTATCTCATGAAAAGTCTATTGCTGAGTTGTTTTGAATAGAAATATTTTACAATATCAAAAGCAGATCTCAGTTTAAGAGAGTTTGGAAAAGGAATTGTAATTCTCTTCTTTCTGATTCTGTATTCAACAGCTTGATGGAATGAAAATACCCTGCTTAGTTGTGAGCCTGCTAGCTGATATAAGAATTAGATACTAATTTTTCATCTTTAATTAATGTAGTGAAATGAATTAAGATATTATAGGAATAAACATAATTTTATCTTATTAGTACTTTATTGGCTGATCTAAATTTACAGCCTATGGAAATTGAGAAAAATATGAAGAAATAGGGCAGATACATGGTGGATTTTTTAAAAATTTGTAGATAAATTTTGGTCTCAAATCCCTGAGATGTTTTTTACCTGCTACACTAAATCATACACTATAATTTATTTATTTTAGTCTAAAAATAGCAAATTGTTTGCAAGTCGCTAATCCTCAAATTATTTTGTTGACTATAGCCCATAATTTTGTAGTCAGTACTAAAAGTGTACCTATTTTTACCACTTTTTCCTCAGATGATTAAGTCAGCAGTTTATTTTAGGAAAGTATAAAAGTAATAGGGAAAGAGATTTCAATATTTGCTTCATTAGAGGTGGGTGGGGGGTGACTGCAACTGTATTAGCAGAAATACGCAGAGAATGGGGATTTAAGGTTATTCGGTCAGTAGAGAAACTTGGAAAACTATGTGTTAAGATCTGGCTGGCAGAATTAACTTTTTGAAAAAGTTTTATACACAGATATTTGTATTATTAAATTTGGAGCCATGGTCAGAAGACTCAGATCATAATTGGCTTATTTTTCTATTTCCTTAACTATTGTAATTTCCACTTTTATAATAATTTTGATTTTTAAAAGATAAATTTATTTATTTATTTTTTTAACAGTTGATCTTTGCTGTTGTAGTGTGCAACCTCTACAATGATTATGTTGCCTTAGGATTGATCAAAAGAAACACTCCAAAAATTGAGATGAAATCTTGGTGTGCAGCAAGATACAAGTAATACAATAAACAAAAAAAAGTGCTGCAGCTTCTTTATGATGATAGTATTCTAAATGGAGAAACATTTGGCTGCATTCACATAGACACATTTTGTTTTCACATGAAAACTTGCTGCTTTGGCAATATTCATAAATGAAGCAAAATTTTTTTCTCTTTTGTCTGAATATGTTAGTTCATTCTTATAAGATGTATAATGGGTATTGGTGCTGTATAACAAATAGTGAATTGTAACTAGCATGTGATTCAGAGTATACAGTATCTTAATGGTTCTTTTCTATTTATAATTTCAAACTTTCTTAAAGTGTACCAAGAATTTCATAAATTTGTTTTCTGCGAACTGCTCTTTTTGCTGTGGTAGGTCATTAAACACAGCACTTATACTCTTATAAATGAAAACATCTGATCATCTAGAATATTGACCTTACTTCAATTTGCAGTGTCTTTTTGACTGGATATATTAATATTCCTCTGAATGGTATTGATAAATGGTTCAGAAGAGAAACTCAATGAAATAAGAGAATAATATTTATTCATGGTGATCAATTAAATTATTTGCCTAACTTAAGAAAACTACTATGCATAACTCTCGGTTTGTGCTTAATTCAACTCATTTGACATGAGGTTACAGAAGAGAGTCTGAGTCTACCTGTGGAATATGTTGGTTTATTTTCAGTGCTTGAAGACACATTCAGAGATACTTGGTTTGGGAAGACGCCATATAAGTTAACCTGCATGCTGTAAATGTGTTGTATGTTTAAATAAAGAGGAAAATTTTTTTGAAATGTAGTGGCTTTCTTAAAACGTATTTGATGAAGAACTGGGTAGCCTTCTGTTTTGATAGAATAGTGACTGATACATTTTTTTTTTTACCAAGCACAGGAGGATCACTTGAGCCCAGGAGTGCAAGACCAGCCTGAACAACGTACTGAGACCCTGTCTCAACAAACAAAAATTTTTTTTTTAATTAGCCTGGTGTGGTGGCGCACGCCTGTAGTCCCGGTCAAGAGAGGCTGAGATGGGAGGATTGCTTGAGCCTAGCAGTTCGGGTTACAGTGAGCCATGATTGAGATACTGCACTCCAGCCTGGACAACAGAGCGGATCTGATCTTTAAAATATGAATAAATAAACTTAGCAATACATCTGAACATTTTCTTCTAAAACATGATTGATTGAATTAATAGCTACCTAATGTTTCACATATTGTGGAAACTCAAATTTTAATGCTTCAGGAAGTCCCAAATGTGTAGTGTTTGGAAATGAAAAATGCCAGATAATATACAATGGTTAACTGTTACTGTTTCTGACAAATACTAAAACCAGTTTATTTTAATCTTCCTTACTTTACTTTGACAGTTTGTATCAACACTGCTTCTAAATTTTTTTTTTTTGAGACAGAGTCTCGCTCTGTTGCCCATTCTAGAGTCTGTGGCGTCAGCCTAGCTCACAGCAACCTCAATCCTGGGCTCAGCAATCCTCCTGCCTCAGCCTCCAAGTAGCTGGGACTACAGACAGTGCTGCCGAATGCCCAGCTAATTTTTCTCTATATTTTTTAGTTGGCCAATTCATTTCTTTCTATTTTTTAGTAGAGTCGGGTTTCACTCTTGGTCAGGCTGGTTTGAACCCTGACCTTGAGCGATCCGCCTCCAGAGTGCTAGGTTACAGGCATGAGCCACATGCCCGGCCTCTGCTCTAAATTTGAGTGAGAGATTAATGATATTTTTGTAGATTCACATTTCAACATTTAGTATAATACTTTGTTCAGACAGTATGAGGATTTAAAAGGGCATGGATCTTGGGAGTTCCATCTAAGTTTAATCCTGGATTTTCTATTTACTTTTATGAACTTGAGCAAGTAACTTTTTTGAGTTAGTTCTTTCTCATTTGTGCTCTTTTTTTTTTTGGAGAGAGAATTTGGTCTAGTCTGCCAGGTCTAGAGTGCCGTGGCTGTCAGTCTAGCTCACAGCAACCTCAACTCCTGGGCTCAAGCGATCCTCCTGCCTCAGCCTCCCGAGTAGCTGGGACTCACAGGCACACACCACCCATATCCAGCGTAATTTTATAAAGATGGATCTCATCTTGCTCAGCTGGTCTCCAACTCCTTGACCTCAGTGATCATTGTGCTGGTCCTTTTAAAATTTTTTAGCAAAAATAAATTGTGGGCTCATGCTTAACTATTCAATGAATCTCCAAAACATAACATTTTTCTGTATAGCGCCACAATATTTATCATGCCTGACAAATATATTTAATATTATTGAATATCAATCTATATTCAGATTTCTCTATTTTTTTTTTTTTTTTTTTTTTTGAGACAGAGTCTGCTTTGTTGCCTAGGCTAGAGTGAGTGCCGTGGCGTCAGCCTACTCACAGCAACCTCAAACTCCTGGGCTCAAGCATCCTTTGCTCAGCCTCCAAGTAGCTAGGACTACAGGCATGTGCCACCATGCCGGCTAATTTTTTTCTATATATTTTAGTTGGCCAATTAATTCTTTCTATTTATAGTGAGGACGGGTCTCGCTCTTGCTCAGGCTGGTTTGAACTCCTACCTCGAGCAATCGCCCGCCTGGCCTCCCAGAGAGCTAGGATTACAGGCGTGAGCCACTACGCCGGCCTCTCTATGTTTTTAAATGTCCTGATTTGGTGGTAAACCAGAGTACAATCGATACTGCTGTTTACATTTGTTTTTAATGCAAATCCCTTAAGTCTCTTTTTATCTAGAATAACCCCCTTTACTAACATTGACTTATTAAAGAGATAAGGTCAGTTATCTTGAGTGTATGCCACCCTCTGCAATATGTCTGATTGATCGTTTTATGTGTAGTGCCTTGTTCTTCTGTTTCTTCTATTCCCTATATTAATATTGAAATAAATTAAAAGTTGATTAGAATGAGTATAAAATTTTGATGAGACTATGTTGGAGGTAATTTTGCTTAATATGGGTCACATCAGTAGATAATAAGATAGCTGATTTCTGGCTATGTTAGAGATGGCTCTGTGTTTTTTCTCTTGTGACTAAATAACTTTTTGATGCCTTTTTATTAATAAAATGTAAGTCTTTTTTCTTTTTTTTTTTTTTTACAGGGTCTCAACTATATTGCCCAGGCTGGTCTTGAACTGCTAGGCTGGCTCAAACGATCTTCCTCAGTCTCCCAAAGTGCTGGACTACAGGCATGCACCATCACTGGAACATCTTCTTTTTTTTTTGAGACTGAGTCTCTCACTCTATTGCCCCAGCTAGACTGCTGTGGCGTCAACCTAGCTCACAGCAACCTCAAATTCTGGGCTTAAGCGATCCTCCTGCCTCAGCTCTCTGAGTAGCTGGACTACAGGCGACTACATCCCCGGCTAATTTTTATATTTTTGGTAAAGATGGGGTCTTGTCTTGCTCAGCTGTCTCCGAACTCCTGAGCTCAAACGATCCACCTCCTCGCCCCAGAGTGCTAGGATTCAGACGTCAGTCATGCACCCGGCCTGGAAATCATTCTGAGAATTACACAAGTTAAGATGTTCACACGCACACAGTTTATGTAGATGCAAGCTGTTTTTATACGTTTCTGGAACTGGGAGCTACGCAAGGGGATTTTCAAAGTAATTACCATAAAAGTTTATCCTTTTTTGGATATTTTTCTCATGTTAAATTTATATGTAAACTTTGAATTCATATCTCATTTGCAGAGAGGATAGACCATGGCCTTTGTTAAATATAGCTGATAGTGACAGTACTTAGTTTAGTTGTGGAATCTGTCTGTAGTCACAGCTACTCGGGAGGCTGAGGCAGGAGGATCGCTTGAGCCCAGGAGTTTGAGGCTGCTATGAACTAGGCTGATGCCACTGCACTATACGGGCAACAGAGAGAACTCTGTCTCAGGAAAAGAAAAGAAAAAATAGCTGAACCAGCTAAACTAGGTTTCAGACTTGAAAATATAATATGAAAGTATAATTATTACAGGTTTGTTTCATTGCTGGTCCAAAGGGTGCAGGTTACTTTAAAATCTTCAATCAATTTAACACATGATTGGGAAATACAATCTACTTATGTGATAAATGTCTAAAGTTAAATTCTTTGCAGGAAATTTTTGTTAAGAAAAACATTTCCAAACACTGGGTTTATTTTTAGAAAGGATTACAATGTGTGATAATACTGATACTTTTAGTTCCCAGTTCTTCTGGCTTGCATAATAGTTTAACAGGTTGAGTTTTTCTAAATGCATAGGTAAATAGGCAGTTAATACAAGGATGGCTTCAGGTAACAACTATAGGATTCTTTCACTGTTTTTTTTCCCTATTCTTCCACTGTTTTTCACCTTTACTTTGTAACTACTAATTGCAAGTTGTCCTTGGTTTAAGAATGTTACTGATCAGTCTGCTGTTAAAAGATTAGCCTTTTTCTTTTTAAACAAATAATTAATGTATCAGCTCACCCATGGCTTTATTATGGAGAATAAACATATTAAGGATAGCCTCCTTTTTTTTAAATTAATTAATTAATTTATTTTAGCCTCCTTTAACACTGTACTTGCTCATAAGTAGTTCTTAGTAGAAGAGGTAAATAAAAGGAGAAGAAATCAAATCATTTCTTTAATTTGGGGAAAGTGGTCAGAGCTATTAGCTAGAAGGTTTGTAAACTATTGGGATATTTTATTACTTGTTTCGTTCTTCTTCATAATTATCTCAGAATGAGTTTTGTAAACTAAATGTATTCTCTCTTTGTGTTTTCTCCCATTTTCAGGTGTTGAAAAGCACCCAAAGTATGAAGAGGACATGGTATCAAAGAGCATTCAATGTCAGGAGGATCACTTGAGCCCAAGAGTTGGAGGTTGCAGTCAACTGTGATGACACCACTGCATTTTAGGGGGAGGGGGACAGTGAGACTCTGTCTCCAAAAAAAAAAAGTAACTTAACATGACTGCTTCTATTGCTTTTTATAGTTAAGATCATCCTATATTACTATAGTAATTTTTATTACTATAGTAAAACTATTACTATAGTAATTACTGTATATTAACATTTCTGTTACTGTTTATAAATCTAACATTTTGGATCATTTGTAATAGCTTTTGGTATTCTGTCTAATGGATGGATATACCATGGCTTATAGCCATTGCTTTTTACTGGACATTCAATTACATTAATTTTTCCCATATTTGAGATTTCTGTATATGAAATTTGAAATGTGAAACATTTTTTATATTCCCTCACCTTTTAGATTTTTTCCAGAAGATTCCCAGAAATGGAATCCCAAGGAGGTGTGAACATTTTTCAGGCTCTTGCTACATGTTACCACATTGCTTTCTAGAAAGACAGCACATTGCACATTGCATATTAGCCAAAGATACTGTTTTGTTGCATCTTTGCCAGCATTGAGCATTAATCGATTTTCTGTTTCTAATTTAATTGGCCAGAAATAGCATCTTATTCATTATTATTGAAATTGGATTTTTAAATATATTTATTGGCCCATTTATGTTTTGGGTTTTTTTTAATGAATTATCTCTCTGTATCCTTTTTACCTATTGTGGGTGATTTTTCTAACCGATTTCTGAGTTTTATTTATTTTTAATTATACAAGTAAAATCTCTTCCTTCTATTCTTTTTTCTTTTTTGTATGAATCTCTTCCTTCTAGGGGATAAAAAATATCACAAAGTAGGCCAGGCACAGTGGTTCACACACGTTAATCCTAGCACCTCGGGAGGCCAAGACAGGATCTAAATGGAGAAACATTTGGCTGCATTCACATAGACACATTTTGTTTTCACATGAAAACTTGCTGCTTTGGCAATATTC